GGGGGGATCTGCGCCAGGCAGCACTGGGGGAGCAGGGAGGAGGCGGAGGTGGAGGCCTGAGTGCTCCTCCGAAGCCCCTTAGTCTTGGTACAAAGTGGGAAATGTTTCCTTCACAGAAGCAGCCAGAAAGCAGGTGTCAAAATGACCCAGGTACGGAGGTGGGCAGGGAGGTGGGACAGAGTGAGAGGACACTGGGGTAAAGGGCCAGGGGAGGTGGCCAAAGGAGAGCCTGGAACAGACGTGGGCATCTGGGACCAGGTTACCTCTTCCCCATGACATCTTGGCAAAAGCAAGACTCAGGGCCTGGGAGCAAGTTATCCCAGAATCCCACGGCTGGAGCAGACTTTCGGAGAACCTTCCTTCCTCTGTTTGTGGCAAAGTGACCAATACATGAGCCATCCTGGAAGAGAGATAAACAAGGACAGGTGAGCATCACCTGTCCACCAGCCTAGTAAAGCCTTCGTACCTCCTCTCCTTTGCCCTCTTCCTGTTGTCCTGTGACTATTCCCTTGTTCTCATCTTCTAGTCACTGATTTTCCTTTGTTTTTATCTTGCCCATTTATTTGTCTAAAATAAATTCAGCCCTGGTTTCCCTTGTTCATGAAGCCAGGGGATGGTGATTTTTGTGCTCTCTGATTTTGATGCCATTTTCTGCCTGGCCCTTGAGCAATTCTGCATTTAGATATCTGCACATGCAAACCTCGCCTGTCTGCTAAGATCACGGCATCCGGGGGATTTCTGTTGTGATCTGCAGGCTCTGGAACCATATTTGAGGGCTGCATTCCCTCGAGTGGGGAAGCATGTTTGTGATTTCCTTCATGCTTTCTGGAGAAGGTAGGACAGGGTGTGAGGTGGACTGGTACCATCTGCCCCTTGATGACAGGATTGATGACTGGACAAGCCACCAGAAGAGGAAAAGTAGGTGAGAACTGCAAGGATTCTCAGTCTTTAAGCGGCTGAGAGGGACCTGATGGGCCCGAGGCCTAATGTTAGGGTGCTGCCTTGGGGACTCAGAAGTCAGGGCGAGCTGCATCAGCTTCAGCCTTTCCCTTTTCCCTATGTTGTGTGACCTTGGGCAGGTCCCATGGCTGCTCCTCGGGGGACATAGGCTGGTATGTGACTCTGATCCAGCCCCCGAGGACAGGCTGTAGGAATGGCAAGCCTGTGTTGGATCTCTGTGGGTTCACAGGAGGCAGGAAAGAGAGGAAAGGCGGTACCCAAGCTTTGTACTCGGGCATCCTACTTGGGCCTCAGTTTCCCATCAGTACATGGGGATTCTTGCTGGAGGGCCTGGTACGGTGCCCAGCATGTCGAAAAGTGGCAGCTATGAGCCCCGGCTACCTCTCAGAATATCAGCACCTTCTACAGGCCGAGGAGGATGTGTTCACAGTAGAGGTTCTGGAGCTGCCCACCCGGCAGGTGAATTTTCTTCTTCCTCTCCGCATTGTGGAAGCACTGCTGGCAGAGGCTGTGCGCTGGAATGTATGGGATTTGGGGAACCTTCTTGGTAGGAATGTGTGACAAACTGGAAACTGTTAAGGGTGATGGAGAATCATCGCATTGGCCGCGTTGGCTGCCCTGACACCCAGCAGCATCAAAGCCCGACCTGGGCTAAGGCTGCTCCTTTCCAGGCATGACGATACTTGACGTGAAACCCTGTGGCCTTTAAGTACCTTCTGAGAATTTGTGGGAATGTAAACAGCCACCTCCACCGACGAAGGCCAACTCTGCACCAGGAGTCTTCTTTACATTATCTCACTTAATACCACAACGCTTTTCTTCCCTCTTACAGGTGAGAAAATGGAGCTAAGACTGAGAAACTTGTCAGAAATCACACAAGGAGAGTAAGCTGAGATTCAACCTGCACATTTGTTTAGCTCTAGAGGTCAGATAGGGACCCGCTGAAGTACACTCTGAAGTATCACAACCATGACCATTTTGCAGATGAGAAAGCTCAGGCTCACAGAAGTGAAATAACTCTCCAGGAAAAGACAGATGGCCGGGAGTGGTGGGGCCTGACACTGACCTTGGGGCCATCTGTTCTGGCTTGTACCTGCTTCCTAGTAGACTATGCTCCCCATCAAGGCAGGGCACTGGACTGCCTTTACATAGGGTGAAACTGAAGAACAGGAAAAGTGAAGGCTCAAAGAAGGAGACTCGGCAGGGTCGGGGAAGCCGGAGTGTGGTGGGGCCCTTGGCAGAGGTCGCCCGGAAAGGATCTGACCAAGATAGATCAGTTATGTCTCAGGTTGGTCCTCTCCCCAGATTGAGTTTCAGGAGAAATTTTAAAGAAATGAATAACACAAGCATCTCTGAAGGAAGCAAAGCCTAAAAGCAAATTGCACCCTGAGAGGTGAATGTGGGAAGTCCGCAGACCCTCGACAGTGCGACCCTGCAGTTATGATGCTCATTCCAGGTGTGAGTCCCTGTGGAAATGGACAAAGCAGAGGACAATGTGGCCAATTCACAGTGCCTTGGTGACAGAATCCCTACAGAGTCCTCTGAAGGGTTGGGGAGTAGGCTAGAACCTGATCGAGTGTCCAGTGGGGTGTGGAGGGGAGGCAAGGGGCAGGTGATGGATGAGACAAAAGGAAACTAGGATAAAAGACACCTAGCCTTCAGAGGTGCAGTGGCTTGGATGGGGCAGCTCGCCTGAGCCTCCTTCCTTGAATGCCAGGGAAAAAGTCACACTAGGGGACCCTACACACTCCCCCATGCCCACCAGGGCTACAGCACCTCCTGCCATCACCAGGGACCCAGTGTAGTGGCAAAGCCAAGCCAGGCGGAGTAGGGGTTTCTCCACAGCCTCCGCAGAGATCAACCTCCAACTTACTTTTTCTTTCTCTCTCTCTCTCTCTCTCTCTCTCTCTCTCTCTCTCTCTCTCAAACCACTCTCTTGTTTGGGGCTAAAAGGGTGGCGAGTTTGCACTTGTCCTCCAGCCCTGCACATAATTGGTGGCAGCAGGCAAAGTCACTGCAAGGGGAGGGGTTTTTTCAATGGAATGAGAGGGAGGGAATCTTAAGAGCGACAGGCCTGGAAGAGACCTCGGAGATTATCCCACCCAACCTTTCTGTGTCTCCACGCCATTCCCATGACCTGTGTGTTCACATCCTCATTGTCACCTCTCACGTTTCCCCGGGGTTCTCAGGACCTCCTTCTCTGCTTCCTCCTGGCCCCTTGCATCCCTAGGTGAATCCACTCTCTTATTTTCTAGATGAGGAAACTGAGGCCCATTCAGAGCAGATTTGCCAGAGATTTGCCCCTTCATCCCAGCATAGAGCTATAGTTGGAGTCTTCCCTTTTCCTCTCAATCCCTACAAAACGAAGAGCTCAGCTCTTTCCCTGGGTGGCGTGGAGGCTGCTGACAAAGCCACTTCCACCCCAGCTGATGCCAATTGGCGATGTCCTCTTTAGGGAGATCCTGGCCATTGCTATTTCCTCCTGCGTGTCTGAAAGGCTAATCTGGGTGCTGTCTCTGCTCTGCAGAAGACTGTCTCTGAGTATCTGCTGGGACCTGCTGTGGTCAGTCTGATCACAGCCCCACACCCCAAGAAAGCCCTTTCACCTCTTGCCAAAGCTTTCTTCTTTCCCCTGCAGTGCAAGGCAAGAGAGCACAGAGCTGGTGAAGCAGCCAGGAGGCCGTGTTAGTGATGGGGGACACTGCTCCCTCTACATAATTCGCCCCTAAATTTGAACATACCCCGGGATGCCCCTGTAGCTGGAAGGAGGAAGCCTTAGGCCCACCTCTGCAGGCCATGGGTGCAGGCTTGCAGGACTGTGCTTGTGTCTTGTGTCTTGAGACTCACACACATTGGCATGGTTCTGTGGGTGAGATGTGTGTCCACGACTGTCTGGGTAGGGTGGCTCAGTGGATTTACTTCCAAGGTCCTAACTGCTCTGGAGCTTCCAGATTTAGCAGGAGGAGAAGGCTACTTTCCTCTCGGTCCTCAAAGTGAACTCAGGTCTAGGCTAGAGATTGAGTTCGGAGGACCCGGTGAGATGGAGGTAAGAGTTGGGAGGACGTGACTCAGCCGCAGTCGGGGGCCATCTGTTTCCAAGTGCTAAGTGGCTGTGTCCCGTATGTCGGGCTGTGTCGTGGGCCCTTCCGAGCACCCGTGTGTCCACCTCTGCCCCAGCTCCCGGACTCCTGGCGCCCTCTTTGTCTCCTGGTAGAGGTGTGCGTGCAGACCTGCGCCGCTCGCACCCTCGCTCCCCCGCTCTCCGCGGAGAGGACGAGCCGGAGCTCGGTGCTGTTTGGTCTGGAGCCGAGCGGGGCTTGCATTGATCCATTGATTGTGCGCGGTCTGCGCCTGACCTCCCTGCTCCCGGGGAAGCCGTCTCCATGGAGACCGAGCCCGCTCCCCCAGCGCGGGATTGTAAATTCCTGCAGGCAGCGGCCCGGCAGCCTGGGGAGGGGGCCGCCGCGCCCGGGCTCGCAGAGGGAGCGGCCGCCACGCCGAGGCCCCATTTGAAAGAAGAAGAAAAAAAGGGGCACGAAAGAGGAGGTGGTGGAGGAGGAGGCGGCGGGGGAGGAGGAAGAAAACGAAAAGGAGCGAGGAGAGGAGGAGAAAGAGGAGGAGGAGGAGAAAGGGGAAGAAAAAGAGACGGAGCCCGAGAGACGGAGCAGGAGCCAGAGGAAGAAAGAGAGGCAGAAAGGGCGTGTTTCTGCGCCGCGTTTCCCCTCCCCTTTCTCAGGTCCCTCTCCCGCTCGGCTCTCGGGCTGCAGCTCCCTCCGGCGCAGCTGAGAATCCGGTGGGATTCCGGACTCCGAGAGGGCGCGGGCTCCCTGCCGTCAGCCGCGCCGAGCGCCCCGGCCTCGCTGCGCTTTGCGCCTCGCTCTCCCCGACGTCCGCGGCCGGGAGCAGCCGGCGGCATCGCGAGCCTCCCGCCCAGGGCGCCGTGCGCCGCGCCCCGCGCCTGCAGCCCCGGCCCGGCCCCGCCGGGGCGCCCCTCCCCTCCCCCTCCGGCGCACCGGGGGCCCCGCCGGCTTCCGCCCTCCTGGGGCTTCGAGACCCGCACCGGCGAGCCGCCGCGCGGAGCTCCAGCCATGGGCGCGGGGCGCGTGCCTGGGCTCTGCCTGGTCGTCCTACTGGTCCACGCCCGCGCCGCCCAGCACGGCAAAGCTGCGCAAGGTAAGGAGGGAGGCTGGCCCGGCAGCTGGCCCTGGCCGAGGGGCAGGGCAGGTGCTGGGAAGCCGGCTGCTGTCAGACCCCGGCTCGAGGTCCCGGAGGTCCCCAGCGAGGTCCCTGACCTCGGGGCGCCGTGCCGGGGCGCAGAGCTGGAGGAGCCGGCGGCGGAGGGGATGAGTGGGAAGTTCTGGCGATGGGCAGAACTCCGCCGGACTTCGCTGCCACCCCTAGCATCTTCGAAAGACTTTGTCCTCCAAAGTCAGAGAATCCTCTCTTTCCCAGATGGTGCCAGACACTTAAAAGTTGTGGCCTGGACAGACTGCGAGGATGAAAACTTTTCAGCTGGGCTGTAGATCCCCACCCCCACCCCCATCCGCGCCCCACTGCATGTAAAGTTCAGAGGGAGAATTTCCAAGTTGCTGTCTTATCAGTGGGAACGTGTTAAAGAAAAATAGAATCTCACGGCAAAACCGACTGTCGCTCACTGGCTGGTAGGGGTACGGAGGAGAAAATTTCAGAGACTTGGCTTTGGCAAGCATGTTGCGTTTCTGCCGGAGGGGGGGGATCTCTTTCGTCTTGAATGGCTTTCATTTCTTATCATAATATTTATTTATTAAGTCCTCGGGTTTCCAATTCCATTTAAATCCAGGTCAGTATTGCATTAAAATAACAAAGTAAAATTCCGGGCTGGAGAGCTCCGTCAGCTCCCTCTAGGAATTAGAGAGAGAGACAGAGAGAGACAGAGAGAGAGAGAGAGAGAGAGACTGGGAGGCCCTCGTGCCCCAGTCCCTGACCCTGAGCTCCTCGCCCGCCCGGCCCAAGGCTACACTAGAGGAAAGCAGGCTGGTGTCCGGCCACAGTGCTCCCGGGACAGGCCACCTCCCCCTTTTGACCTCCTGCCGCACCCCTCCCCCAGTGGCGCCCTAACTGAAAAGATTTATATGGACAAATAGAAAATTCTTCCCACCGAGGTTTAGCTTGGGAGGTTATGATTCTGCCTATTGTCCCCGGGGCTCCTGAAGCCAGCCAGCCAGGGGGAGAAGGTGGCAGGATCCAAAGGCAAGTTGAACTTGGGAGTTGAGAAAGGCTGTGACTGACAGTAGGGTCCCCTGTGTGCCTGGGCCTTGAGCACTTAGCTCTCCGGCTGGTCAGATGGAGATGCCCACTCTCCTCTCTCAAGACCCCGCTTCTCTGAAGACCCCCACCCCAGTTCGACCTGTCCCCTAAGAAAACCAAACCTTAGAGACCCTCAGCTGTCAAATACAGACCCACCTCCAGCCCCTCCCAACCCCAGCTGCCTCTTCTTCCTCCTGATTCCAGACACTGCTGCCCCACCCCCAGCCTGCAGCAGCCCCTCTCCTCATTGTGGATTTGCTTGTGTTTTCATAAACAAAGCTGGCTTTTGTAGTGCGTGCTGACTTACTCATAACATGGAATTAGCTAGGGAGTTTAGTCTGAAGGAACAGATTTCATGCAGTAATCTAAAGACTAGATAAGGGGCTCTTTCAAGTTGGAGCCAGTGTCTGTAGTGGCCTAGGCAGACTGGGGGAGGGTGCTGGGGCCAAAGGAGAAGCAGATGGAGACCCCTGAAAGGGACAGGTGCCGTCAAGCCGAGGCTCTCAAGTCTGGGGATCAGCCCATCTTCCAGGAACAGGAGGAGGACTCAGAATCCCTCTGGGTTACTTTAGGGCTCCCTCTTTCATGGGATACCCCCTGGGATCCTGGGGGAAATGCAGCTGGAGGGGCGACTCCTACCCTGGAGGAACTTACAGACTAATACTGTTGTTCACTCATGCGCCACACCTGCTCTGACGGGGCAGCAATTAGTTTGGCATCTTTCTTTCCTCCCTCCCTCTCTCCATCCTTTCCTTCTCTCCTTCCCTCCCTCCTGCCCTCCCTCCTGCCCTCTCTCCCTTCCTTCCTTTCTCTTCCTGACTTTAGCTTGGCACAGAGTGGAACCCGATCGCTGACCCTGCTATTCAGGAAACCTATAAACCCTTCCCCACCAGAAGTTGCCTAACAACAGGTTTGTGAATTAGAAAGTTGTCTGGAGACCCAGATTGGCAGGCAAGGCCACAGGAAGGACAAATCCTGTTTGGTCAGGCAGCCTTAGGGCCCTACCGGTAGACAGGATGCTGTGGGCTTTGGGGAGAGGCCTCTCCTGCCCCTAAACCTGTCATCCCACCCCAGGACGCTCAGGGTTGGAACTGTCCTTAATGCCACAGGCTTTTCAGTGAAGCTTGCAGGGTCTTTAAAATGCTCTTGGCGGTTATCTTGCATGGAGTTACTGCACCTCTGGGGATTATCGGTGTCTCTGTCCCTTTTCATCGGAGATGCACACACCGAGAAAGCCAAAGACACGTGCGATGGGGAAGGGGGATAAGGCGATGAGCCCTAAGTGTAAAATGGTGTGTGTGAGTGTGTGTGGGGGGTGGGGTGGGGTGGAGTGGGGTGCGGGGAGTGTGAGGCTCACCACAGACACCCACATGGGACAGAGCTGGCAGCTGTGGACACTGTGACTTAAGAGCCACTGCTGTTGTTTGGCCTGGGAGAACTCAGGGGCGGGTCAGCAGCGGCCTGGGAGGGAGGGAGCAGGAGGGTACACGGTTCTGAGTGTTTTTCAAGTACCTGTCTGTGTATCTTAAGGTAGACAGACTGGATAACCAAGATAATTGTTAACTTAAAAGCATTAATTTGCTTTGCTTTTTCTTGGGGAGGGGAGGGGAGGGGAGGGGTGGGCAGCAGTAGTTAAGAAGACCTAATCCTCGAACAGGGCTCAGGTTACTGCTGAATAAGAAGGTCTCAGGCCCCCAGGGAAACTTGTCCCAGGGGAGCTCCCAAGAGAGCCAACTTGGCTGTTTTCCTTTACCTGGTAGTTTTCTCTCTTCCTTGGGGACAGAGTTTTGATAAAGTCAGGTATTTAGATTTCACAAGTAACGTCATCCCTGGGACTGAGCGCGTTCATGGGGCAGGGAACAGTGTCTCTCTGTCTCGGTGCGTCTCTCCGGGTCTCTGTCTGGGTGTATGTGTCTCTCTTTCCTTCCCCCACCCCTCTCTTCCTCTTTAATGTGGCTGTTTCCTCTCCTCCCGCTTCCCTCGGCTCCTGTGGCCAGACTGTACAGTGAGGGGACTGTTCCTCCTAACCCCTCCCTCCAAAATACGAAATGAAAACCATACCCATGTCAGCGGGTGAGGTGCCTGTGCCCCCCACCATACTGGAGAATGAGGGAAGGGAGAGGGGACAGGCGCTGACCCTACCTTGGAGCGATCTTTAACCAATTTCCCCAAGCCCATTTTTCTCAAAAGGGGGTGGACAGCTTAGAAATTCCTCAGGAATCCCTTTGACCTCTTTTCTCATGAACCTGTCTGAGGGGTGGGAGGGGGCAGGCACAGAAATGTTTCCATGTCCTCCACTCCTCCCCTCTCATCACCTTGAGTCTCTCTGCAGGGTGGAGAGGGACACTGAGGCCGGAAACACTGCAGGTAGAGGAAGGAGGAGGTCATCAGCACCCCTCAGATGGGATTGTTTGCTGGAACCTTCTGCAATCTGAGAGCGTGAGAACCGGTTTGAGATGTGAGCAGCCAGGACCTGTTGTAAAAGGAGACAGGCCGGGTGTGAGTTTGGGAATGTGAGGTGTGCATTCACTGGGGTGTGTGAGTGTGCATGTGCATGACTCGGGGTGTGTGTGTTGGTCTGTGTGCGCGCGCGCGCATGTGCATGCTCCAATGAGAGGAAAAAGGAAGTGGCGCGATGTGCATTTTGTTTTGGTTGGAGAGGTGAAGAAGTGGAATGACTTGGTCTGGTGCCTTGCACTGAGGGTGGGGGAAGGGAACCGATGGCCTCCAATCCTCCGGAGGAGGAAGGGGAGGAGGAGCTTGCTGCCTGAACCCACCCTTGTCCCTGCCTACCCCCACCCCAGCTCTGGTCCCGCTTGCCCAGGTGTGGGCCTCCTTTGACATCCCGTACCCCTAGCACATGACCACTTATAAGAAAGAGTCCCTGTGAGGGCTGGAAGCTGCGGTGCTGCTCTGAGGCTGGCAGTACCCACAAGAGGCCCCAACCTGGGGACAGCTTCTTCAGGAGTCTGGAAATAGAAGGACTGCTGGGCCCTGGGGGAGACAGGCAACAGCCAACCCAGGGATGGAGAGGCCACACGGTCCACCTGGGCCACATGGCCTGCCCTTGCTGTCTGCACGCTGACTGCTCTCCTCCTGTCCCATACACTGTCACTCAGGTGACACCAGGAGGTTGCAGTGCCAATGGGTTTTGCCAAATGGAGAGCCTGAGGACTGGGGCCTTGGAGGAAGACATGGCTGAAATCATCTTCAAGCTAGGGCCCTTACAGCTCTGAAACTGAAATCCTTCCAGCTGAAGGCAGAGGATGCTGGCAAGCCTCAGCCTGAGCAGCCTCCCCCAGTTATTCAACCTAAAGGCCAGGCCTTTCCCCCAGACCCTGCTCCACTTCTGCTTTCCTGAGTGTAGGTCACTTGGCTACTTTTCCTTTCTTCCCTCTCCCAAAGTCCCAGGGACCCAAAGTCCCAGTAGTTCTGTGCTCTCTCGTGGGGGTTTACAATCAGCCCGAAGCCACACTTACTGGGATATATGCATGTGCACCTAGCAAAGCTGGGCATGGGAGCCACAGTGCCGGTGTTGTGGGAACTGAGCGCTCTCTGGCCTGGACCTTGTCCCTGCACCCATAGCTACATGGGATGATGGTCTCTATGTGGGGTGCTGGGGCTTCTGCTTGTTCCTATGGTTTTCCCTGTGGCTGCAATGATAGCCCTAAAGAGCTGTGGGGTTTGATTTCGAGAGTCTCATGGCAGGGGCTGTCTAGATCTGGTCACTGCTGGTCACAGACGGAGGAAAGACGTAGACCAGAGCTGCTAGGATGCAGGCAGATGCAGGATAAGGCAACAGACCTACGGCATCCCTGATAAGAGTAGGATATTGGGAGACGTGGGCATTGGTGGGGGAGTGCTAGGAGGAGGGCACTTAAAGGGTAGACCCTGGGGAGCAAGTTTACAGAGAGGACGTTTTTACAGGATTCTAATTATATTTATTTGGAGTTTTTCTCTGGTGGTTTGAAGCTGTTAACAGCAGGAACCTGCATCCTGGTGTTTGTTTTTGTTTCTGACCAGCTGCTTGGCCTCTCTGCAGTGAATCCAAGGGTAGGCAACACCTGCCACCACTGCACCTCTCTCTGCTTCTTTCTTGTGACTGTCTTCCCTGCCCCGTGCTCCTCTCTGGATGCTCCCGTGCCTGCAGCCTCAGAGCACGCACTTACATGGATGTACAATTTTCAGTTCCGTCCACCCACGTTTCTGTGTGGGATACTTGCTGGGACTAGGGAGGCACAGCGCTGACTGAGGTATGCATTCTTCTTCCCTCGAACACTTCAGTGATGGTCCCTGAACCCCTGGGCAGTCTGTGACCTGTTAGGAGCCTGGCCATGCCGCAGGAGATGGATGGCAGGCAACCTAGTGACCCAGAGGAGCTTCCTCTGTGTTTGCAGGCTGTGCCTCCCAGGGCTCAGCACTTGAGCGCCACCCTGGGGCAGGTCAGTGGCAGTAGATTCTCATGGAAGTGCAGACCCTCCGGTGAACTGTGTGAGGGATCTAGACTGTGTGTTCCTTACGAGAATCTGACCCCAAAACTACCCCTGCCTCTATCATCAGAAACATTTTGTTCTGTGAAATGAGTCCCTGATGCTAAAAACGGTTGGGGACCACTACTCAAATCTAGGAGACGTGGGTAGTGAGAGCGCACTGAACTGGACCAGAACCCGAGTCCTCACTCTGTACTAGCTGTTTGCCGTTTCCCAAGGTGACATCATTGGCTTTAGGCTCCTTGTCTATTTAACAAGGGATGCCTGCAGCCCTGCTGGACGGTGCCTGAAGAACCTGCAGCTCTGTAATCCATTGTCCCAGTGTCTGATGGCCCTGGCATTCATTAAATGGATGCCCTGAAGGGGGTACTGTCTTCTTAGAGCTTCCTGCCTCCCTTCTTTGACCACCCTGCACTCCAAAGAATTGTGAGGTCATAAGACAGTGAAGAAGGCAGCTTCTGCTGAGGGGATGCTACAGATATGGATTTTGTCCCCCTACCCATCTGTGTTACAAACGTTTACAAAGTGGCTTCAGTGTATCCTGAGTCTGTGCTCAGTAACACTGACCGGTGGAAGAAATACGTTCAACAGTCTTACTATTGTTTTTTGAGACAGGGTCTTGCTATGTAGTGCAGACTGGCCTTGAACTCGCTAAACTCATAGCGATCCTCTTGGCTTAGTCTCCTGAGTACTGGGATTATGGGTGTGCACCACCATGCCCAGTTTCAACTCGATTCCCACTGCAGTGTGGATTTCAAAGACTGAGGAGAAGCCTCAGCCTCAGGGAGCTTACAGTACTGAGTACAGCATAAAGCCAGCACCTGATACGTAGTCAGGGCACTGGAGAGAGATTTAGAGATGGGATGGTAACAGTAGCCGGCCTTTCCTGAGTGCCTACTGCATGCCCACACTGTGGCACCGGGTTCTTGAGTCTCATGGGCAGCCCCGTGGGAGGTGTGTAATGATTGTTATTCCCATGGGCAGAGGAGGAAGCAGTAGGTTCACAGTCTGCCCAGGACCACACAGAGCTGGACAAGCTGGCACTAGAACTGATGAAATGCTACTCTAGAAGTCCTTCTCTTCTGCCCCAGAGTCTCCTCTGGCTACGCTGGCAGGCCATACTGCTTAATTAGGCAAGGCGGAGAAACAACAGCCCAGGCTCTCCTTGGAGACCCTGTCTGATTGGGGCTAGAGGGTACCTAGATATTCACATTTTTCCAAGGTCCCCCGTGATTCCCATGTGCAACCAGAGTTGAAAACCACTGGGCTAACCCACCTCATGCCCAGCAGTATCAGCTGGTTTGCCAAGTAGTAAACACAGGCTGAGATGAGATGATGCCTGTGAGTCCTGCCCAGATCCTTGCGAGGGTTGGCAGGTTTGGTGGGAGGGAGCTCTGGAACAGGGAACAGCAAGGGAGGAGGCGCTTGCTGGCTATAATTTGTGACCTTGTCTCACAGCTCTGCCTTAGGCTGCTTTTGCTGCAAAAGATTTTGACCAGTTGGAACGTCCTTTAACAAGTTCCCAGGCAAGTGAAGAAAGTGTCACAAGAGACAGCTTCAGAGAATTAGCAGAGCAGCTAAGCAATGGCTGCAGATGTGTGGGAGCAAGCTGAGTCCCCGGGAACTGGGCTCACCAGGACAAGCTTTAGGGAAGACAGTTTTGAGTCAGAAATTTAGATTTACAAAGCTTGAGTGTAGTGTGGCTGGGTGAGAAAGGGGGAGTAACACCTCTAGTGTGAATGTGAATGAGGCAGTGTGTGTGTGTGTGTGTGTGTGTGTGTGTGAAGGAACAGAATGGTCAGGTTAAGGAAGACAAGCATTGGGCAAGGAGAAGAGGGAGCAGGCTGGCTGCTGCTGCGGCAGGGTCTAATGGCTCTGCCAGGCAGCTTGAGTTTGCTGTGGGCTATATCACAGGTTGCTCCAGACAGAGAGACAAAGGGAAGAAGCGGGGAGGGGCCGGGAGCCTGACCCAGGCCCTTGTGAAGCACAGACAGCTGTAGCTGGCCCCAGAAGAGGTACTTCTATGTGGCAGGGTCCAGGTTATCCCTGATTCAGAACTCCTGGAGCAGTGCTGTCCAGTAGAACTTTGCATGATCTTTCATATTGGTGCAGTCTCTGGGTGTCCACTGGCCTGTGGCTACCACAGCTGAGGAGCTAAATTTTGTCAGGTAGTCACTTGAGACCAGCAACCACCATAGCAGACAGCCTGGTCCCAGAGTAACTGCTGTCTGAACCAGCGATCTCATACTTACTACCTCAGGGCCCATCTGAGAGTGTTCACAGTCTGTCATGAGGAGGTATCGCGATCCCCATTTTAAACAGGAGTAGATAAGAAGAAAGCCCTCCCCAGAGAGAAGTAGAGTGGGATCTCAACCTGCGACTGGCTGGGTCTAGTGTTTATGGCCTTCCTGTGATAGTACATTTCTGGGCTGCTCTCTCTCCATCAGTTGGACAAACTGATTCTCAAATAGCTACTTAACATTTGTGAGGTCCCTCTAGTGCTTACTAATGAGCTAGCATTCCGGTGTCCCCTCCTGCATTCTCTCACTTGAGGATGACTTGCCAGGGTGACGGTGTGATGGGCAGGCAGATACCATGCCTGTAGAGCCTGACTGAGGTGGAGAGTCGGGGGAATGGGCTCCCAGTACTTAGAATCACTGGGCGTGCTAGACTAGGAGAGAGTTGAATGGTAGAGTTGAGTAGAACCCCAGAAATTTTGAGGCAGGGTCTTTGGGGACACATTCCAGATTTTGGTTCTTCTCTCAGCCCCAGGATACTACAGATCTGCCCCTTATATGCCTTTCTTTTTTCCCCCTAAGTACTCTTGAAGAATGAAAGCAGCGGACAGGTAACTGCTTAAAGCTAGTGCTCATCCGGATCTATGGGTGAGAGATTACTGCTCTGACCATCCACTGACTCTAAAAATATGTCAAGCATCTTAAGGACTTGGATTCAGCAGTTCTACAATAAGGCCTAACAACCTGCATTTAAACAAAGCCCATGCAGGTCTGCAGTTGATGGATCATAGTTGGGAAGTCAGTCTTGGTTTCAAACCCCATCTCTTAATGGCAGGCTGCTACTTATATATTATCTTTGGCTTCAGAGTTCACTGGTAGAAATAATCTCTTCTTTCTTGGACCTTCCCTGATTGGGAAGGTAACACAGGTTCTTGAATCTGGCTGCCCATTTGAGTTATCTGGTATCGTTAGAAAAATATTTATCGCCAGGCTCCCACCCTGAATCTGGAGGCTGGGGCATCTCCCAGGGGAGCTGACACAGAGGCACAGCCAAGGCAGAGGCCCCCTCGCCTTATCTCTAGTGTCTCAAGACGCACACTGCACACCCTTGTGTTACTCCCTGTCCTTCATCTAGCTGATCTGTGAGCCTCCACAGCACCCAGGATAATGCTGATTACAAACGCACTCTGCAAAGCATTTTCAACTAAATGAAAGTCTCCCTGATTTCACTTTGGCTTTCCAGGCACCATAGGACTGCCAGAGGTTGGAATTGTTTGCTGACGACTCTTTCCTAGGTTTCTTTCTTAACCATCCTCATTTTTGCCAGATCTGGGGTGGCCTTTTCCTCTCTGTGTACAGTGCTTGTTGTCAGACAGCATACTTGAGGTTACAGCAGAAGATTAAAGTGAGGGTGGTGAGTGGATCTGGAGGCGATGGGGCTGCACTTACCAGGCCTCAGGTTGCTGGTGCCAAACTCTGTCTGCCAGGTCCAGGTCCTCTGCTGTTGATGGCACAGAGGCCAAAGAAAATCTTCCAGGATAAAACTTCTTTCCTGTCTAAACCTTCTTGCTGCCATGGCAGGCAAGAGGACAGGCTCGGTGTACAGCAGAATCATGAGGCAGGTGAGGGTCCCTCAGATGCGCTGTCTCCTTCTCTTCACAATGACCACTGGGCGTTGCGCCCTTTTTAGAGGCTGCTGTCCCTGGGCCCTCTGTCATTCCTCTTCTGCCGAGCCTGCTCCTAAGAGGAGGAAACCAAGTCACACGAGGGTGATTATTCCTAATCATGTTAAGTGTCCACAGGTTTTTTGTGGTTCGTTTGTCTTTAGTGTAAGAGGAGTTTTTCAAGTGATGGGTTAACTGTCACTGTGGATTAGGCATTTTTGAAGGCGGCACATGGTGTGTGTGGGGTGTCCGAGTTCCTGAAGCTATAGTCTTCCCACTCTGCAATCAGCACATCTAGTGTGGGCTCTCTCTTTGAGAAGAGGGAATTTGCTCTTGGAAAACCCACCTTCAAGATACCCCTCAAGGGATACCCCTGAGGGTCTCATGTGTCTCCCTCTGCCCCTGCCAGATGTGGATGAGTGTGTGGAGGGGACTGACAACTGCCACATCGATGCTATCTGCCAGAACACCCCTCGGTCATACAAGTGCATCTGCAAGTCTGGCTACACGGGGGATGGCAAACACTGCAAAGGTGAGGCTGAGAGGGCATCCGGGGACACAGGACCTCTGGGAGAGGGGAAACCAGGGTCGCTGGCCTCAGCTGGCCACCCTTGGGCCTGAGACCCCCCTGACCAAGTGTGGGCGGCTGCGTCTTCCCAGAGAGGGCGTCCTGTTCTATCTTGCACCAAGACACCATGTGAACCTGCAGAGTCCTGGTAGGGACAGTTCATAGCCAAACAGCCGACTGGGGGACGAGTCAGGATCATGTAACGAAGGTGTGAGGTCGCTGGAGCGGGAACCCCCACTGGAACCCCTTATACTATATTCCCAGAAGACAGGAACAGAGTGTGTACCCCAGGGGAAATTACACTGTGAACACAAGTCTCTTCCCCTCATAATGAACACGCATTGGAACAGCCCTGGAATATTATTTTAAATATATGGCTTTCAGTATTGATGAGACTTCAGAGGAAAAGGTACATTTATTAATTCCTCATGGCCATTACGAATTGGAAAATGTAGCTGTCCCTCAGCATCTGACTGGGATTGGCTCTAAGACCCTCCAAGGATACCACAATTCAAGGATGTCAAGTCACTTATATAAACTATCACTGTCATTTGCATAAGACTGCCATGACCCTTCTGTACACTTCAAATCATTTCTAGATTACTTATCAAACCTAATACAATGCAAATGCTATGTATATAAACAGCTGTTCCATTACATTGGTTAGGGAATAATGACCCAAAAAATCTGTACTGATAAGACATTTTTGACTATTTTTGATCCATGTTGGTTGAATCTGTGGATGTAGAACCCATGACTGTGGAAGGATGGCTAGTTTTGTAATACTAGCAGTAATCTTACAAGGTATTTGTAACTTTTGATATAAGTATCACTCTTAGGGTCTCATTCAAATGAAATTAAATGAAACGATATGAGTGGCAAGGTTCTTCAGATGCATTATTTATGACAGTAAAGTGAGTGAAAGAAATCTAAAAGCCCAATAATCAGGAAAAAGACTAACAAATTATCATATAGCAACACAATGGAATATTCTGTGGCTATGTACAGTGGTAATTAGAAAGACTGGACAGAGACATAAAAAATGCTTAACTTAGGTTTAGGTAAAAATTAGCCAGCTGGGTGTGGTGGCATAAACCTGTAATCCCAGCATTCAGGAGGCTGAGGCAAGAAGATGCAGGGGATTAAACCTGGGGCTCCATACTAAGCAACATTTCTAATCCTTTTTTGATTTGGGACAAGGTCTTACTAAGTCACTGTGGTGCCCAGGCTGGGCTCAAATTGCAATCCTCCCAGGATTCTAGGATTATAAGCATGCACCACCATGACACATATATATATATATATATATATTTTTTTTTTTTCATATATATATATATATATATTTGTCTTTTTCTTTTTTTATCTGTACCAGGGATCGAACTCATGACTGCCTGCTTGCAAGGCAGGTGCTTATGCCGCTGAGCTAAATCCCCAGCCCCTTTGATATATATTTTTATAGTAACCACAAGGAGCCAGGGGTATGGCCAAGTGGTAGAGTTCTTGCCTACTGTCTTAGTTACTTTTTACTCGTCGCTGAGACAAAATACCTGAAGCCCAAAGTTGGGAAAGGAGAGGTTTATTTCTTACAGTTTTTGGAGGTTTCAGTCCATACTCAGTTGGCTCCAAGGCAGGGTGGCATGGCTGGGCCCCAGTTCAAGGGAGTTGCAAACAGAAAGGCCGAAATAGGCAAAAGAGAGCAAGACACACCTTCCTGCCATTACATTATACCCTGGCTCCACCCCATGTGGGTGTGGCACTGACACCATCAATCCAAGCACTAGACAATGAACCAATCACAAATGCACAGTGTAAACTCATGAGGGCTGAGGGCCACAGACATAAACCATGACACCTACCATTCACAGGCCCTGGGTTCATTCCCCAATACTACAAAAAACAAACAAACCCACCACAAGGCTGAGCCCAGGATGGTCGGTGAGGATGTGCAGGTGGATGTGGCTGTCTTGGCTTCTCTATGCCCACAGATGTGGATGAGTGCGAACGAGAGGACAATGCAGGCTGCGTGCACGACTGCGTCAACATCCCCGGTAACTACCGATGCACCTGCTATGATGGATTTCACCTGGCACATGATGGACACAACTGTCTGGGTAAGCAGGAGGGCTGGTTAGTGGGTCTGTTGTAGGGAAAGAGGTGTTTTCAGCACTTCCCAAGCAAGAAAGGGACATGATCACAAAGAGCTGCACTCCCTCAAGTGAGGAAAAGGTCAGTGTTCTCTTCAGGACTGGCCACTGAGGACACAATAGTCCTGCTGCTGAATGAGAAACATCAGAGGAAATGCTGCTAGAGAGTTTTCCTGGGAGAGGGCTGGGAGAAAAGGGTAAGGGCTGGCCAGACTGGTAAAGCACAATGGGTCCAGACAGATCCCAATTGCACAGCTGATTGTGGGGCCTTGGGAAAATGAATGCATCTCTCAGAAAGGCAGCTTCTTCTTCACTAAGATGGGGTGGTAATACTTCACGCAAAGGCTGCTGGGCAGATCACCATGGAGAACATGTGTAAGAGCCCTGGACACTCCTGAGCACACAGCAGCACTCAGTGAAGGGAGGAATGATGCTGCTGAAGATGATGCCTGCTGGTCCTGACAGGCGGGTTTTCTTCCAACTCTTCCTCCACTCTGTCTCACCCTCTCCTTGCTTTGGAGGCCTCCATCTAACCTGATCTGCTTTTCCAAATCAGAAACAGTCTCTAAGGAACTGAACAGAACTTTGGTCTCTGCCACACTGAAAAGTTACCGAGACCAGGCTACATTCTTCCTCAAGTACAACAGCTGAAGCCTGTAGTGGCGAAGGACTGGAGATCTGAACCCATGGGCCCTCTCCCAAACTCTTTTCTCTTTGGTTCGAAAACAGAAATAGGGAATGGGAGTATAGGACAGGAGAGGAAGAGGAGTGGTGCCCAGAAAAGTAGGCTGTGGTGGGCCCTACCCTGCCCTGACTAAATACGCGAGTTAGGAGTTCGCCTCCTGCTGGCCTCAAAACAGCTTTCATACCGCAGAGCTGCCTCTACCTGCCACCCCATCCTTGGACTGCCGTGGGTCTCTCCTCCCGGCCCAGGCCCCCAGCCCTGGCCACCACTCCAGCTCTCAATGCAGGGCGCCCTTTCTCTTTCTGAGTCACCCCTGGTGACCTCGTTGGGGGAGAAGCGGTGACACTTGCACAGTGTGAACATCAACTTCTGAGTGCTTTGCTTTCCTTTCCACACCCTGACGCTCACCAATTCTCTTTTCCCCGCAAGTGTTTGGAAAGGAGCAATCAGAGGGACGAGACAATGACCAGGTGTGGGGCGGTTGGAGACGGTCTATCGAGGTTTAAGGTCAAGGCTCAACCCTACCTTCAGCTCAGGGGACCTTGAGAAAGCTGACCGTGCCCTGAGCCTCTGTTTCCCTACAAAAACTTGAAGGTCTTGACTAGAGTAACAAAGTCACGTGGAATGTAGGATAGGGCAAGAGCAAGAAGAGAAGGATGAGGTGAGATAGAAGATGGGACAGAGACGAGGATGGAGCAAAGTGCACCGCCTTGGCTTTGCCAACAGGTGCTTCTACTGGTCCAGAGCCAGCCGAATGGTGACCAGCTCTGCCCTTGGCCGGGAGGGGAGGGGAGGGGAGGGAAGGACAAATGAGCCCCGGGAAGCCCAGGCTCTAGCTGCTCCACATGGTATCCCATCTCCTTGATGCCTCCTGGCCCAGTGCGAACTTGAGTAGAGATGGAGTCAAGGCCTTGCAGTGGGAGCCCCAGGATAAACCTGGGGCCGGGACACAGTGGGGTGGTTTGGGGTAAGAGCCTACTGCTCCCCCCACCCCCGCATCTAGGGTGTGGCCTGGCAGCTCTTCTCTCATCCCATCTTGCCAAGCTGCCAGAAGTTGTTTTGTTAAACCAAAATAGGAGAAAGGCTAAGGAATATGGCAGCAAGCCCAGGCGTGGGGGGAGGGACAGACAGGGCTGTGGCCTGTCCACGGAAACGGTCCCGACCCCACAAGGAGTTGAGGTTCACTATCTCACCCCACCCTGCCTTCAACCTCGGCAACATGGCCATAGCTCCCCCTGAACACAGAACCACTTCCATGTTCCCTGGCTACTTACCACAGTTGCTTCCCCTGGTTACCTCCCGGGTCAGTGTGACCCATCTCCATCCTTATCTTGGTCGCCCCTCGTCTCCTGACCTCTGCCCTCAGCGGGAGAAAGGGAAGTGAAGCTTCCCCCAGAAGAGCAAGGCTCAAACCCCTAAGCACATGCACGCTTGCCTGGTTCCCCGGATCTCTCTCAGTGCGGGATTAGCTGACAAGGGAGCAAGAACTTCCTGGTGTAGGTGCGGGATGGGGTTGTGTCTCAGGACTCCCTCAGCCTTCGTTGCTGAAGCCCAGGGCACACCCTGGACCCCCGCCTGCGCTCCACGGCCCCACTGGTCACCTGTCCTGCACAGATGTGGATGAATGCGCCGAGGGCAATGGCGGCTGTCAGCAGAGCTGTGTCAACATGATGGGCAGCTACGAGTGCCACTGCCGAGAAGGCTTCTTCCTCAGTGACAACCAGCACACCTGTATCCAGCGGCCAGAAGGTAGCCCATGAGCTGGGAAGGCCCAGCGCCCACCCCCAGGCTCTTCTTCTTAGCTCTTCTTTAGGACCCCTAATTTCATTCTTCCTTTTCAACCCTGTCAGCTCCCTCCCAGGCCCTCAGCTCAGTCCCACCCTCTGGCTTCATGGAAAGACACTCTGTTAGAGAGAGGTCTGGGGGAATTCATTTGGGGATAGGGTCAACATGGGATCAAGGCTACACTGGGATATCCTCTAGTGCAGACTTGAGGCAGGTGTTGTTCCTAAACATAGATGTCCGAGTTTCTCCAAGCTGCTGCTCCCCAGAGCTTCCTTGGCCAGACTGGGGGTGTGGGCAGGAAGAGCAGGGTATGTTTTGCTGGTTTCTGTGGCTCATCCCCTCCACTGGACTGTGACATCCTGAAGATAGGAACTGTCTTAATACCTCCATATACTGCCCTGCATGGAGTGGAAACGTCCTAGATTTCTGTGGCACGGTAATTACCCACACCAATCACTCCCCACTCACTTTATAAATCTGATTGTTACATCATTCCAGGTTGAATGTAAGTCCTCTAAGGGAAGTGAAGTGGGTCCTTCCTAAATCCCGAGTCCCTGGCACAGCACTGGCCAACTGTTACCACTTGTTTGAAGGCCAGAGAGATCACACACATGTTCTGTGGGGTGGCTTAATGCTCACCCCTTATTCATCCTTCTTACACTTGTTCAGAATGGCTCTGAACTCTGCTCCTTAGCTCCCAGCTCTGTGGATAAGGCAAGAGGCCCGGGACAGCGAGCACAGTCTCCTCTTGTGTGAAAGCACCGTGGAATCTTCCCTCTTTCCTAAGCCTCCAGCGGCTCCTTCCAGTTCCACCCAGAGCAGGCATCCAGAGGTGCAGAACACTCACCCCTCTCCTCTTCTCTTTTAGAAGGAATGAACTGCATGAACAAGAACCACGGCTGTGCCCACATTTGCCGGGAGACCCCCAAAGGGGGCATTGCCTGTGAATGCCGCCCTGGCTTTGAGCTCACCAAGAACCAACGGGACTGTAAATGTGAGGTCACTGGGCTGGCAGCGGTGGGCTGGGGAAGTGGACAGGAAGGGGAGTGGGGCCTCAGCAGCAAGGGCCAGAGCTAGGAGGGAAGAAGTGAGGCAGAGGCAGCTAGAAAAGAGGGCTACTAGCCAGGCGTGGTAGCTCACGCCTGTAATCCCAGCACTCTGGAGGCTGAGGTGGGAGGATCCTTGCAAGTTCAAGACCAGCCTGAGCTACAAAGTGAGCTAGCTGAAGGCCAGCCTGAACTGCATAGCGAGACCCTGTCTCAAAAAAAAGACAAAGAGGGCTATTTCCACGTCATGGGGGACTGGTGCCTGGGAGAAGCAAGCTGATGGGCATCCTGCCCTCTCTATACACAGTGACATGCAACTATGGTAATGGCGGCTGCCAGCACACATGCGATGACACAGAGCAGGGTCCCCGCTGCGGCTGCCACATCAAGTTTGTGCTCCACACTGACGGGAAGACATGCATCGGTGGGTGAGGCAGGGGAGAACTCGGTCTGTCTGTGATGGGGGTGGTGGTGGAGGCCTTGAGAAACTAGGGGGACCTCTGGGGACCCCAGTGCTGGCCAGGGACTAGTAGAGGCTCCAAGCCCCAGAAAATGCCAGGTCTAGCCAGGGAGACCAGAGGGAGACTGAGAGACTCACATGCTCACCTGACCCTCGTCCCACTGGTTCCACCCCCATCCCCCCAGGATAAAGTGTCATCAAACTGGGATCCTTAGCAGAGGTGCTAGCTGACCGAGGCTAGGGTGGAGAAGGGCAGGACAGCAGGACAAGTCAGCTGGCAGCCTCTGCCCAGAGGCCCTGGCTACCTAGCAAGTGACTCCTCTCTCTGGTGAGGGGAGCTGTCACAGCCCTGGCCCCTATTCTGAAACTGGAGGTGGGACGGTGTTCTTTTTTGCAACAGCCCTGAGCTGAGAGACGGGGTTTCCTAGTTCTAGGCATCTTCCTCCTCTCTATCCCTTCCCGCCTCACCCCTCCTGCAGATCCCCCGTCTCTTCCCCTTCTTTCTCCAGCTCCCAGGAGTTCCTCTCAGCTCTGCCTTGAGTCCTCTTTTCTCACCTATTGCAGCCTTCCATCTCCTCGCCCTGGTCTGGGGCCCTCTTAACACCTGGATTCCTTCTCTAGAAGCCTTAGGCCACACCTCAATGTGTCCAGGTGCCCTGCATGAGCTTAACTCATTACAGCTGATTCCTAACTCCCTCAGTCTTTAGTGCCGAGAACACAGCAGGTCAGGGGTCCCTGATGGGAGGGAGGAGCTCTGGCAGGGGGTACGCCTGGGCCTTGGGCCAGACAGCAGAGGTGAGCTTTTGTGGCCTAGGTGGGCAGGAGGGGCCATCCCTCTGGGGGGGTGGGGGGAATGCCCCTGAGCCGGGAACACTGGCCCTGCATACCGGAATGTGAAGAGCCAGGCTCTCCCCGACCCCAGTCCGGAGACCTGTCCACTTTGCTGCAGACACAAGAGCAGGGAGCGGATGGCGCCCTTCTTGGCACGCACACTTTGATGTGCTCCTGCCACTGAAGAGCCTCCTGCTGCACATTTTCCTCTCCATTACCTCCTCAAACATCAGAGACACGCGTCGGTCTTGCTGCCTTCCCTAGCTTGGACTGTGCCGGCTCCTTTCCTTTTCTCCTCAGAGAGCTAATTCTTCTGCTTTCTAAACCTCCCTGCTCTGGCCAGACACGTTACACATCCCCAGCATCTGCCAGAAGAAACTGCATGCAGTCCCCAGAGTAGAGATGAGCAGTGGGTCAGGACAGCACTGAGGGCCTGGGGACGTGAGGCCAGAGCCTGCCCCGCCACTCTTTAGATAGATGCTCCTGGACGTGGCTGCTTTTCAGAGCACTCCTGTTAAGCCTGAGCTCGTGCAGACCCACTCTGCCACCTGGGCCAGGGCCGGGCAGGCACAGGAGGGCACCGGAGGCTGTTTCAGGGCTCACGGCTGTGTTCTTTCCTGGCCCCTCTTCCTCTGCTTCAGTAGACTTACTGTCCCTGCCTGTACCAGCCTTGCTAGGAAGAATTCACGTTGTCTGGGGACATCAGGATACCCAGATGCAGGGAGAGACTGAGAGGACATTTGCACAGAAAGGCTGGGACTTGGCTGTTCATAAGACTAGACGATGCATGCCAGCTTTGCCTTTGGCATGCTGTGTGGTCTTGGGCCCACGACCACCCTTCTCTGAGCCTCACTTTTTCAGTCACTTGCTGGAACTTTGCCTTCTTTGAGGATTTCAAGCAGCACACAGCTGAGAAGTGAGGGTATCTCAGGGTTTTCCGGGCTCACCATGTGGGGCAATGGTTTGGGCCTTCAGGGTGGAGGATGGTTGGGGAGGGGTCCAGCGGGCCGCAGTGGCTCCTGCCCAGCATCTAAACAGCTTTTTTACGATGTCAAACAGGGGAAAGGCGGCTAGAGCAGCACATCCCCACTCAGGCTGTCTCTAATGGTAAATATGTCTGCTCTCTCCGCTTGCTCTCACTGGCTCGCTAGGGGAAAGCGCTAACCCGCTGAGGCTCCCACTAACCGCATGCCCATCGAGCCCAGCCCGACTGGGCGCCAGCCTGTCAGGGCTCCCCTGGAAGCTGGGCCCTGGGCCTGTCAGGTGACAGGAAACCTGAGTCCCCAAGAGCCGGCCTGGGAGCCTTCACGTTGTCTTCCTTTGTCCCTGTCAGTGTCTTCTCTATTTCTGGCTCTGCTCCCTCCCCCGCTCCTTCCACTACACAGTGCAGGCCCAAACCGTAGCCAGCTCCATCCTCCTGCACTGCCCCTGTGCCACCCGAGCTGGGGTTGGATGGCATCCCCTCCGTGGGGCCTCTTTCCTGGGTTCTCGCCCCATGTCAGTCACAGTCCCAGCATTGCTCACCATGTTCTGCTCCGTCATGGTTCAGATTGTGGCTTTTGTCCGGCTCCCACAGACCTGAGCTTGAATCCTGGCTCTGCCCCGCTCTAACCAGGTGACCTCAGGTCCTCTCTGATCCGCAGTTCCTGCTTCTGTGAAGTAAGAGCAGTGGGGCTGGGGATTTAGCTCAGTGGCATAAGCGCCTGCCTTGCAAGCAGGCAGTCGTGAGTTCGATCCCTGGTACTGATAAAAAGGAAAAAGACAAAAAAAAAAAAAAAAGTAAGAGCAGTGACAGTCCTCAAGGTGCTGGGGGGTGGGGTAGCACTTGGGGCGCATCTAGGAAGCCCCCAGCACGGTTAGCTCAGGGCAACCGGTGGCAACCTGGAGAGCCAAGAGTGAGGCTGTGCCACCCTGTGATCCCACTCTGCTCTGGGCAGCGCTGTCCTGAAGAGCTGGATAGCACTGCCCAGCATCTGGTCCAGTCTTCCATCCTGGACCCTTCAGAAGCCACCTGGACGTGGCACAGGATTTCTGTCCTCCACCCCCTGCTCCGGGACCTAGTGGGCCTCTTAGAGTAGAACAGTCTTGGGGGAAAGCTGAGCTCCGTCTCAGGGTTCCGTCCAGGTTCCTCGTGGTCTTGGGAACCTCAGGAGAGGCTGAGAGAGGAATGACATGGCGGGTCCCACGCTGCCTGGCCACTTGAGGGACCAGGACATAGCCAGGCTTCTTCTGGAGCCCTGGCCCTGTTCCTTGAACCCATGACAAGAGTGGGGCTTGTTTGGGTTAAAGATGACAGCACTGTCTGTGCTTTTCTTATCCAGTCCCCCAGCTCTGTGAAAAACTCCTAAGATCCTAGACACAAGGGTCCATAATATTCCCAGCCCCAGGGTCAGACTCCTACACTATTTGAGCCAATGGTTTTCCTGCTCTTGTCCAACAACTCTCACAACGTGCTGTCTAAACCTGTTCCTCTTCTCCTCTGAATTCAGAAAATAGGGAGAGTGACCCAATGCATACTTCCCCTCTGGCCTCTCAGCAAAGGGAAAAACCCCCCGCCGGAGGGAGCAACAGAAGACACTCAGGGAAAGGGGCTCTGGCTTTGTCTAGCTCTGGGGTTCTCTCTCCCCTACCTTTCTACACCCTCTCTTCTTTGCATTCTTCTTCTCCTTTGGCCCCCTCCTGTCTCTCATTAGGAAAGGAAAACAGTGACCAGTCAGCTCACCCTCTTGTGGAGCTAGGAGGAGGGCTGGAGAGGCAGTGGAGGTGCATGATGACCCGGTGCACGGTCACCGCAGAGCCTGAGCCCAGTCCCGAAGCGGACCTTTCTCAGTACAGCTTGGGTAGTTTGAGGGGAGAAAAACTGGGGCATCCCTCAGCTATCCTAGGGATCCCCAGGCACACTCTTCCCATCCACCCATAGTGAGACTGTCCCAAGAGATGGTCAGTGGGACGAGGAGGAAACTTCTGCCGGCCCCTCCTGTTCCCTGGTGACCACGCAGCTCCCCCCATCCTTCCTGCTCACCCCACCCCCCGCACATTCCTGCCTGACAGCTCTGGCTTGTACCTGCCTCACTGCTGTCCACCTTGTTTCAATCAAGTAGGGGGCAGGGAGATGGACTGCTTGGCTGCACCCATGAGGGGCTGGGGGCTGGGGGTGATGGGAGGACGCGGCCGCGGGCCTCCGCTTAATGCTCCTGCTCAAGCACAGGGAGGCAGCTCTGTTCTCTGTGGTCGCTGCATCTCTGATGCCTCTAGGCCAGGAATCCCATTACCACCCCGCCTCCCCCCTAAACAGAGACCTGTGCTGTCAACAACGGGGGCTGTGACAGTAAGTGCCATGACGCAGCTACGGGTGTGCACTGCAGCTGCCCTGTGGGCTTCATGCTGCAGCCAGACAGGAAGACCTGCAAAGGTAAGGGTTTTGGGACAACGCGGGCCTGAGACCTTTGAAACGGGGCTGAGGTTGGGGCCATAGCCCCTCCCACCCTTCTCATAAGGAACTCAGCCTATGGTTGTCTCCTGTGCACCTTTCCCTTCTCTTCTCAAGGGGCACAAAGGTCCAGCCAGTCCCTGGCACCTTCCTCCTCTGCCCTCTCTCACCCCTACCTCCCTGCAGGGCCCAACCCTTTTAGATAATGAGCATGCCATTCCCATCTGCCCAGGGGCCAGGAGGATATTTGAGCCCTGACTTTGTGCACTTGAGGTCACAGGTGTGTCCTGTAACCTTCTTAACCCGCATTCCTTGGACCTTCCCAGTGGGCTCTGCAAATGCTCTCCCCCAACCTTCACAAAGGCTGGACTGGCTAAGCTGGACCAGAACTGCGGTTAAGGGCTCAGTGCTGGCTCCGCCTCTCCTAGGCCCACGACCCTGGGCAAGTTACTTCACGCGGCGCCTGCCTCCTTTGCTCCCAAGTACTTGCCCTGTAGATGAATTGTGAGGATTAAATAAGATATATATTTAGGAAAGCACTTAGTACATTGGGAGCACATCATGTTAGCCGGCATCATGGTATAACTTCCCATACTGTCTATTCTACCTCCCTTTCTTTAATTAGCTGGGTCCAGAAGAAGGTAAGGGAGAAGGAAGACAAAAGGGGAGGGGAACAATATTGGAAATACTGATTCACCAGCCTGTGCCCCCTGGTCACAAGGAGTGGGGACTGCAAAGAGTACAGTACTAGGCTCCTTCTTTGTGTCTTTTGGCCCAGCAGCTGCAAGAAGAGGGGGAGGGCTGAGGCAGCAGGTCAGCCAGCGAGTGGAGAGGTTTCCTGCTGGGAAGGACTGTTGACAGGTAGCTCAGAGTGAAGTGGAGGGCTGCCCTCCCTGCCCCCTCCCAAAGGGGCGAGTGCCTGGGTCCTGTCTGCCACCAGCTTGGGGAACTTGACCTCAGGAAGGAAGCTGCTTGCTGCCCCCCTTTCCCTTTCCAGTGCTGAAAGCTGCCTCGGGCCTGAGTCTCTCCAGACCTCTGCGGTCCAGCCCCCCGCCTGGCCCCGTCCTCCCCCTCAGGGACCCAGCCCTAGCTGGCTCTGCTGGAAGTCCTCCTTGTCTGGCCTCTTTCCCAGCTCCTCCCTGAAGGCTGGCCCTCTCCACTGAGTCACTTTGACTCTCTACCTCCTTGATCCCAGTCAGCACTCTTGACAGAGCCCTTGTGACAGGGCTTGGGGACAGGAAAGGGACACCTCTACCCACCAGCCTTGGGATTGTCCATCAGCTGGAGAGCAAAGGGCATGGCCTGTCCTGTATGTCAGATGCCCACCTGCCCCCGGCAACTCCCAGAGGCCAGGCCTGGCTCCTGGGACTCAGGCCCAGAGGACAGTGTTACCAGTGGTCACAGATCCCCGAGTGGGAAGAAATGGAGCCAGGAGAATGGCAGAGGAGTCAGAGGGGCAGGGGCAGGTTATCCTTGTGCCTGTGAGGAAGAGGTCTGGGCTCCTTGGGTTTTGGTGTTTTTTCCTTCCCTGTTCTTTGATGCTATCTTTGATCCCATTTGTCCTCCTCTCCCAGACATAGACGAGTGCCGCCTGAACAACGGGGGCTGTGACCACATTTGCCGCAACACAGTGGGCAGCTTTGAATGCAGCTGCAAGAAGGGCTACAAGCTTCTCATCAACGAGAGGAACTGCCAGGGTGAGCAGAACTGCGCCAAGGTGAAGGCCTCAGGAGAGGCTCTCAGGGTGCAACAGCTTCGAGGAAGCCAGTACCCTGCACACTCGGGAGGCACTGCACAGGATCCGCAGGGGGTGCCATGCTGCGCACTGACAAATCGCACCTTCCTTTTGGCGAGCAGCTCCACACTGGAGCACGCTGCATGGCGAGAAGGGAGGGAATGCTTTCACCCCAGTGCGCATCCTTGGCAGACAGTGCCTGCCGGACCACACCTGGCACCCAATCCACTGGCAGCACACTGATCTTGCAGTTCCTGACTCCACATAGAGGGGGCGAGGCAGGTGGGTTGGCCCCATCACCAATTGAGGGCCAGTGCATGGCCTGTGACTAGGACCTGTTGGAATCAAGCAGGAGACAGCCAAACACTCTCTTGGTCTTTCACCTGAGCGAGGGTCAGGGGCCCCGAGACAGACTCTGTCGCCTGAATCCCTGCTCTTCCAGATATAGATGAGTGCTCCTTTGACCGAACCTGTGACCACATATGTGTCAACACGCCAGGAAGCTTCCAGTGCCTCTGCCATCGCGGCTACCTGCTGTACGGTGTCACCCACTGTGGGGGTAAGCCAGCAAGGTGTGCCCTGCAGCCACCCTGGCCTCCTCACTGCCAACGGGCTGACTCCTTGTGTTGGCTGTGGCTCCGGGCAACCCCTGAGTGCCACATCTGCACCTGCTATGAGGGGGGATTGGGACAGCTTCTGAAGGCACGTGGGAGACAGGGCACCAGGGGACCTCAGTCTCCAAAACATGTCTCCCATCCCTGGCACTGTCCCCAGGCCCCACCCTCAGCTTCCAGACAGCAGCCCTACTGGCTGGCAGCATGGGAGACTTTAAAAAGCTGTTAGCTTGAGCCCTTTGCAAAGGTTGCTTACACTGGGGGACCGAGATAAGAGAGGAGGTTTGAGCTCTTAGCAGGCCAGGGAACACTTTTAAAGTTTGTTTCAGTTATGAGAATATTTAACATGCTATCTATCCTCTTAACCAGTGTTTAAATGTACACTGCACAGCACTGTTAGTTATAGCCATAATGTGCTACGGATGCCCAGAATTCCCGTCTTGCCTAATGCAGGGTGCCTTGAGGTCTAGTTCCCACTCCCTGGCTCCTGCACCTGCCCACCGCTGTTGTCTGTCTGCCTTCTCCTTCCCCCAGATGTGGACGAGTGCAGCATCAACCGGGGAGGCTGCCGCTTTGGCTGCGTCAACACTCCTGGCAGCTACCAGTGTACCTGTCCCGCGGGGCAGGGCCGGCTGCACTGGAACGGCAAGGACTGCACAGGTGCGCGGCGCGCCCTGCTGGCCGGACCTGGCATTGCAGCTGCCGTGCCCTGGCAGGGCAGCCCAGAGCTCGGGCGCGGGGAAAGTATGAGGGGGAGACAGGTGCAGAAAGTAGCCCTCCAGGTGAGAGGCACGGCTCTCCTGGTAAATATCCCCAGTGTCGTCTCCACGCACAGCAGGTCTGCCTGTACTGGATTCTCTTCCTGCGTATTCACCAATTGAGGCAGGGGGAAGGGAAGGATGCACCTGTCTCCTCAGGCCTCTCTCCCTTCCCTAGAGCCAGTGAAGTGCCAAGGCAGCCCTGGCGCCTCCAAAGCCATGCTCAGCTGCAACCGGTCTGGCAAGAAGGACACCTGTGCCCTGACCTGCCCCTCCCGGGCCCGCTTTTTGCCAGGTACATGGGAGGGCGGTGCTGGAGGGCTAAGGACTGTTCTGCAGTTTCTTTGGTTCCCTGGGACACCCCAGCCAGCAGATATTGGGGAACAGGTCAGACCAGTGACAGGCCCTTTCTCTCAGAGTCTGAGAATGGCTTCACGGTAAGCTGTGGCACCCCCAGCCCTAAGGCAGCTGCTGCCCGAGCTGGCCACCCCGGGAACAGCACCAGCTCCAGCCACTGCCATGGTGAGCACAGCCTGGATCCCTGTCCCCACGTCCTCTCCTGTCCCCACCTCCTCTCCTGCACTAACCCTTTGTTTTGCTTTGTCATGAATCCCTGGGCCTTACTTTTTCCTGGGTCTTCTCCGTTGCTCTGTCATTCTCCAACCCTGCTGCCTCCTTCCTCTGCCCTCACCATCTGGTCCCCAGGCTTTCCCAACCCCACTTTCCAGCCCGGCCCCACAACACCCTCCAAGCAGCTCTCACCTGGGGCCCATGCTGTGCTGAGCTTCTGCCATCCCTCTAGAGGCTGCAGTGCTGTTGGTTAAACAGCGGGCCTCCTTCAAGGTCAAGGATGCCAAGTGTCGTCTGCACCTGCGGAACAAAGGCAAACTGGAGGAGGCCGGCAGAACCCCAGGGTCAGGTCTGGACTGGGGACCTCACTACCGGGGGTACCTGGCTACCGAACCCTCCCCACCCACCAGCTCCTCTGCCCAGTGACTGAACACACAGAGGAGGGGAAAGCAGATGTAGGTATAGGGCCTGAGGAACCCAGGACTCTCCCTTCACCCTCTAACTAGCATCCTAAACTAAAGAGGGTAGAGAGGGAGTTAGAACCAGATGTGGTAAGGTCTGCCTGGTGGCTGGGAGGACTTCCCTTGTCCCCTGTGGCACCCCTGGAGTTGACAAGGCCTCTCCCCCAGGTTCTGCCCCCTGCTCTGACTGCCAGGTCACCTTCATCCACCTCAAGTGTGACTCCTCTCGGAAGGGCAAGGGCCGGCGGGCCCGTACCCCTCCAGGCAAGGAGGTCACCCGGCTTTCCCTGGAACTGGAAGCAGAGGTCAGAGCTGAAGAAACCACAGGTGGGACTGGGGACACCCCTGGGTGGAGGGCCAAATGGGAGGGCAGCAGTGGAGAAACCACAGGTCTCGCAGCCCAGCTAAAGGACAGAGGCTGTGCAAGGGACAGATGCTATGTAACACAAGCCCAAGACCCTGTCCTCTTGCTGCCCATGTCCACCCCCTGCCCTCGTACTCACACCACTCTCACTCTCCTTCCCAACACACATCACCGTCCACCCCTAGCGAGTTGTGGGCTGCCCTGCCTGCGACAGCGGATGGAGCGGCGACTCAAAGGGTCCCTGAAGATGCTCAGAAAGTCCATCAACCAGGACCGCTTCCTGCTGCGCCTGGCTGGCCTTGACTATGAGCTGGCCCATAAGCCAGGCCTGGGAGCTGGGGAGCGAGCGGAGCTGGTGGAGGTCTGCAGGCCCGGGCAGCACCGTGCTGGGGCCAAGTGTGGTAAGGGAGCTTGCAGGGGAGCAGAGAAGTGGGGAGGCCCAGCATAGGCCTGGCTCAGAGCAGGACCCCTTTCCGCCTCAGATGTGTTTCTCCGATGGTAAGGCAGCCAAGACCCTGCTGCCTGCTGTCCTCCCTCCCTGGTCCCAAGGTGAAAGCTCGATAGCAGGCAGGGGCAGCAGCCCTCCTGTACCTGAGCTTAACCTCCCTACGCATCTAAGCAGGATTCAGTTTACTCCTGACAGAGAGGCTCCCTGTATCTGGGGGAGCGGGAAGGGAAATCCTAGGCCGGGATGGTGGGAAATGGGGGGTGGGTGGCTAGCGCGGCCGACTCTCCCTCAGTCAGCTGCCCGCAGGGAACGTATTACCACGGCCAGACGGAGCAGTGTGTGCCATGCCCGGCGGGCACCTTCCAGGAGAGAGAAGGGCAGCTCTCCTGCGACCTTTGCCCTGGGAGTGATGCCCACGGGCCTCTTGGAGCCACCAACATCACCACATGTGCAGGTGCCAGGGGAACAAACAATACAGAGTGGGCTAGGGTGGGCAGTGGGATGCCCATGGGCAAGGGATTTCCCAATAGGTAGGCTCAGGCTCCAGGCCACTCCTAGCTGACATCCTGTTTGTATGCTTCTGTCCTGAGACTGGGTGACCCTGTGGGGGTGACTCGGGACCATCCCCATCAGAGTTGAGCCCTTGGTTCATTGTAGGTCAGTGCCCACCTGGTCAGCACTCTGCAGATGGGTTTAGGCCCTGCCAGCCATGCCCACGTGGCACCTATCAACCCGAAGCAGGACGGACCCTGTGCTTCCCTTGTGGTGGGGGTCTCACAACCAAGCATGAGGGGGCCCTCTCCTTCCAAGACTGTGACACCAAAGGTGAGTGAATACCCCACTAGGAGACTCCCTGACTCCAACCCCTCTTTAAAAAAAACCCTCTCCAAGTCCCTAGAGGAGTCAAGTATGTTCCTACCATCTGCTCCAAAGTAGGAAGTCCAGCTGCTTAAGTGATCACACCATCCTGCTTCCAGGACTCCCAGGCCCAAAATCAGGAATTAAGAGTCCCACTTTGTCCCCTGCTTTGGAGAACTGACAGCAGCACACACACACACAGCATACCCCAGGGAGTTTCTGTATTCGGTCAGCACTGGCTTGGTGCTTGAAAGAAAAGGCCTGGTACCGCAGACAACCACTCTGTGAAGTTTATTTTTCCTGGGCTTAAGTGAGACTAGGAAAGGCTGGGTCGCTGGAAAGAGCTTCGGAGTCCTGGGTCCCCTGATTCATGTGATGAACATGGCCCCAGAATGCCTCCCTGCCAGCTCCCTTGACTCCTGCATCTCCCTGCTTGCCTGCAGTCCAGTGCTCCCCAGGGCACTACTACAACACCAGCATCCATCGCTGCATCCGTTGTGCCATGGGCTCCTACCAGCCTGACTTCCGTCAGAACTTCTGCACCCGCTGTCCAGGAAACACAAGCACTGACTTTGACGGCTCCACCAGTGTGGCCCAGTGCAAGAGTAAGTGGCAGGCCAAGCTGTGGGAAAGGGGCAGAAGCCTGGGAGTGGTGGGTATGGAGAGGAAGGGGAGTGGCAAACCCACAGGAAGCAGGGTGGGATGGGCAGGAAAGTGCCGCCCTCCACGTCTCCCACCCCACTCAAACTCCAGGGCCAGGCTATGCTGAGCCCTGGAGCACCCTTTCCCCGAGACTGGTAATGGGGAGGTGGGGATGGCTGAAGTGAGAAGGGACTCAACAGACAGGAAGGAAGGTGGACCCAGAATTTGAAGAGTGGTATCATTCCCTACTGACTTGCTTTCGTTGCCTTGCTTTACCCCTGGGGCTTGGCTGCAGACCGTCAGTGTGGTGGGGAGCTAGGTGAGTTCACTGGCTACATCGAGTCCCCCAACTACCCGGGCAATTACCCAGCCGGCGTGGAGTGCATCTGGAACATCAACCCCCCACCCAAGCGCAAGATCCTTATCGTGGTACCCGAGATCTTCCTGCCATCTGAGGACGAGTGTGGGGACGTCCTCGTCATGAGAAAGAACTGTGGGTGGCTGCAGTGCTGATCCAGGGAAGGGTAGTCCGAATCGGGCTGGGAGGAGAGCTTGGTACAGGAAGAGTGGGAGCGGAGAAGCTGAGAATGCTTAGGAGGGAAGCTAACAGGAAACAGCAGCGGCGGGTGTGGCAGAGTAGAAAAAGCCAGCCCTAGAAGTCCAGTGCTGCTGCACGTGTCACTTCTAATCCTAGTGCTTTGCCAATTCATTCACTGTCAGATTTCATACACACTGTGAGGGCCCAGATGTCAGAGGGCTTTCAGAATAAACCCAGGGGCGATGGAGGGTCTGGGGTATGCATGTGTTTGGAGGGAGGAATCTCTGTCAGGGTGATTCCCCCACCCCCACTGCACAACCCTATTTCTGGCAGGGCTTGGGTGGCCTGCCCAGCTGCCTTTCTGACCTGCCACTTGCCTCGCCAGCCTCCCCATCCTCCATTACCACGTATGAGACCTGCCAGACCTACGAGCGCCCGATCGCTTTCACAGCACGGTCCAGGAAGCTCTGGATTAACTTCAAGACTAGCGAGGCCAACAGCGCCCGCGGCTTCCAGATTCCCTATGTTACCTATGACGGTGAGCAAGGGCAGGAGAGCTGGGGCTGGGGAGGGAAGGGAGGCACGGGGCCTGGGCAGGCAGCCGGGAGCAGGAAGAACTCTGACCCCTCAGTGCCCCCTCCACCTTGCTTCGCTTTGCAGAGGACTACGAGCAGCTGGTGGAAGACATTGTGCGGGACGGCCGGCTCTATGCCTCCGAAAACCACCAGGAGATCTTAAAGGCAAGTGAGCGTGAAGGACAAGGCCAGCTGATGGCAGTGAGCACACAGCTGTGCAGGCTGCATGCTGAGTGCCAGCATGAGCACTCTTATTTGATACACGCAGAAGCTCTCGGAGGTGATGCCTTCATCATTCCAGATGAGAAAACTGAGGCGGAGTTAAGGAACTTGCCTCCTGGTTAAAGCCAGGCTTTGAGCCAGCCCATCTGACTACAGGGTCACACAGGCCACATGAGGCCTTAGGGAAAAGACGGACGGGAAAGGGGAACTGAGGTGTATCTTTTCCTCCCAGAAATACCAGGGGACTGCAGAACAGAAAGATGCTCTTACAGAAGTTCCTTCCGGGGCTGGGGATTTAGCTCAGAAGTCTAAGTGCCTGCTTGGCAAACACAAGGTCGTGAGTTCAATCCCTGGTAACAAAAAAAAGAAGAATTGGTTTGGGGCTGGGGGTTCAGCTCAGCGGCGTAAGTGCCTGCCTTGCAAGTGTGTGGTCGTGAGTTCGATCCCTGGTACCAATAAAAAGGAAAAAGACAAAAAAAAAAAGAAGTCCCTTCTGTCCCTCACTCTCCCCAGGCCACAGAGAAGCAGCACACTAGTGCAGCTGTCCCAGACAGACATCTGTTTTCCTTTGTCATACAGAGGTACAGCCATGTGCATGCTGGACAAACACTGCACCACTGAGCCACACTGCCAACCTCTAGAAGTCTGTCTGTATTTATTTATCAGCTTTTATGAGACAGGGTTTCACTGTGCTGGTTTTGAATTCACTTCGGTAGCACAGGCTAGCCTTGACTTCATGGCAATCCTCCTGCCTCAGCCTCCTGAGTGCTGAAATTACAGGTTTGCACCGCCATGCCCAGCCTAGATGTCTTTTAAAAGAAAGGGAAGGCAGGCATAGTGGTGCATGCCTGTAATCCCAATACTTGGGAAGCTGAGGCAGGAGGATCACGATGAATTCTAGCCTGTGTTACATAGTAAGACCCTGAATCAATCAATAAGTAAATAAATAAAAGAAACAAAGTATTTCCAATATTGAATGAACTACACATGTAGGTCTGTGGATCCCATTTTGAGAAAATCATACTTCAGAAACTATAGTTGTAACCTTTTTTTTTTGGTACTGGGGATCGAACTCATGATTGTGAGCTTGCAAGGCAGGCACTTACGCCTCTGAGCTAAATCCCCAGCCTGAGACTATAGTTGTAGTCAAAATTATTCTTCATAAATTTCCACTGCAAAAAATCCACTATTATTAATGATAGAATTTATATATTACCAAAATAAAATCTATAATGACAAAAACCTCCTAGAATCTACAGACTTCAAAGAACATAATTCTACCAATACTTTTCAAACTTTTAAGCATTTGAATCATTATTTCAAATCAAATATACCCTGGAACTCCAATGTGTGAAGTAGTACAGCTGTTCTGATGAGAAGAGGGGTGAGAGGCTGGGAACCCCACCTTCTGTTTTAGAAATCCTCAGATACAGTGGAAAGAGCCCCAGCCTGGAAGCCAGGAGAGCCACGTTCTAGTGTGTGGAACCTGGTGCTCCATGCATCATTCTGCTGAGACAGACAGAGACCAGGAAAAGCATTTGAGGAGGCCAGGGACACCCATCAGAAGACTAAAAACCATGGGAGAGTTTAGCATGTTTGAAACCTCAAGAAGCCCAGATCTGCAGGGGAAGGGAGAGCAGAGGGGCAGAGCAGGGCAGAGGTCACCCATGCAACCAAGGTGCCATCCAAGGGACTTGGCTTTCACTTTGGGATAAAAGAAACCAGAGGGGCAGAGGGTGTGGCTTAGTGACAGAATGAATGCTTAGCCTGCATGAGGTCTCAGCTTTAATCCCTAGCATTGCAAAGAAAAAAAAAAGGAATAAATCTTACCCAGGTTCCATGGCACATTCCTGGAGCCTGGCTACTTGGGAGGCTGAGACAAGAGGATAGTTTAAGCCCAGGATTTCAAGACTTTGTCCCAAAAAAATCAAACAGGAAAAAGAGGAATTAATTATACATCCCCAAAGGTCACTCTGGCTGCTGTGGAAAGAGCAGCCTGTGGAGGACCGAGAGCAGAAGCGCAGAGACTGGCCAGGCTATTGCAATATGCAACTGAGGGATGATGTGGCTTGCTCCAGGCTGGCAGCCATGGAGACAGTGAGATGCAGTCAGACCCTGGTTATATCGTAAAAGCCAAGTCAGCAGGATTTGCTGGCATTGTGAACAAGAATCAGGGGTCAAAGATGCTTCACAGATGGGCTGGGCAGCAGAGGGCTGTAGCTGCTGTGGACTTGTGGAATTCTAAAAGAGGAGCAGATGGTGAGGATGGGAGTCCAGAGTTCAGTTCTGGGGGTGTGCAATGTGAGATGCCACTGGACATTGAGGGGCTGCTGGGGGGGAGGCCGGTGTTCCTCCTTCCCACCTGTGACACGGGATGACACTACCCCCTGCCATCTCTGCAGGACAAGAAGCTCATCAAGGCCTTCTTTGAGGTGCTGGCCCATCCCCAGAACTACTTCAAGTACACAGAGAAACACAAGGAAATGCTCCCAAAGTCCTTCATCAAGCTGCTCCGCTCCAAAGTGTCCAGCTTCCTGAGGCCCTACAAATAGTGCCCATGTGCTGGGAGACCCAGCTTCTGGAGCCATCAGACTCCTTAGCCCTCAGAGCTGGCAGCCCCTACCCTCAGACAAGGAACGAGTCCTCTCTTTCTTTCTGGAGGAAAAATATCACTACACAGACCAGGCACTCTCCCTTTCTGTTTTTCTAGTTTTTTTTTTTTTTTTTTTTTTTTTCTCTGTCTCTGTCTGTCTCTGTCTCTCTACTGATTTCCTATATGCTTCCCAGAAAAGCCATTCTGTGCTGGCTCTGCTGCCCCGAGGGGTGAAGGGACAGCATTGCCCTCTCCCCCGCCCCTCTCACCGGCTCACTTGCTGCCCCATCAGGGAAGGCTACTTGAGGTCCACGTAGGAAGTGGGTCCATTAAGGAATGGGGAAGGGGAGGAGGGGCTTCTGCCACTATAGGGTTGTGCCTTGCTAGTGAGGAGCCAAAGAGTCCCCTGGCTGTGCTCCCCAGGGTGACCCTTAACAGTCCAGGGTTCTGCCAAAGACGCCTTTGACATATTGGCTTAATGCCAGCACTGGTCTGCTGGGGCACACAGTTAACCTTCTTGTCTGTATAGCTTCTCTCTTTCTTCCCCTACACGTCTGCCTGGGGTAGACTCCATAAGGGTTTACAGATGGCCCATACTGCTGGGCTAGTGGACATCGCGAAATGAGGAAAAGCAGCGAGCATTACCATGCATTGCTGTGACTCCCTGAGGAAGTATAACTCTGCGGGACAGAAAACAGGTTTTAAAGCATTGCTTTAAAAAATAAAGAAAAAAAAAAAAAAAAAAAAGGAAAGGAAAGAGCATCCAGAGGACTGAACTACAGAGCAATTGTAAGCCACCTCAAACACTAATCCCTTTTCTTCTCTTCCCCTGGCCCAGCCATGCCTGCACCCCACCCCAGAGCTCCCTGGGGGAGCTCCACTCCCCTTGCTAAGTGCTAAGTGTTGCCCTTAGAAACCTGGCTATTGACCTGAAGCCAGCCTGGGCCTCGCCCCACAGTCATCTTCCCCTTGTCGCCCTAGGTGGCTCGTGGGGGGCCACCAAAGAGGACCCTGCTCTGCAGCCAGCCTGGAGCCACCTACCTCTGGCCTCAGGCTATGGGCAGCAAGAGGAATGTGTGCACTTGGCGAGCCTCCTGCCCACCCTGTCCACATCTAATAAGTGCAATCATTTGAGTCTTTCTGTGTTGTCTAGAGGGAGGGGTTTTTGTTTCCTTTTTCTCTGTTAGAACAACCTTATTTATAGCTGCCCAAGAGAGAAGAGTATATGTACAGAGTGAAAGAATATCAGTTCTGAAGCTCATGAACCTTGAGTGCTGGAGCATCTGATCTGTCTGTTTCGTCTGTGGCCACTCAGACCTCTAGGACCCTTGGTGGGGCCAACCCAGGACTATAGCTCAGAAGCATCTGACACGGAGGACAGTGCTGTGGGGGACCTGGCAGAACAGGAAGGAGAGGGACGCATTTGCGGAACAGTCCTGCCATTGCTATGCCTCTCTGCGGATTCAGCACGAACCTCACAACCACAGGGGCTGATGAGCTTGATCAGTGATTCTCCACTCCAAGAAGGGGAAGCCTCCACCTTCTCCCCGCCTTCATCATGTTTTCCCCAGTGTGCACATGGAAGAGGACCGGGTCAGACCCCTGGTGATGGGCTGACTCAAGCTCCTGAGGCCAAGCAAGGCTGTAGGAGCCAAGCGTGGGATGGCTGCTGAGGTCCGAAGCTGGTTAAGGACCAAATGTCTGCCTGACCTTGGCCATTTCCCTCTTATGGCTGGCTTCAAACCTGCCTCAACTACTGTTTTTCAGAAGCAAGAATTGAGCTAGAGCATAAATCCTGCACACACTCCAGCCTAATCCAACTGCTACCTGTAAAATTCTTTTCCATTTGCTCCTTCTAGTTCCCTGGAGCTGTAGTCCTTCTTAAAGGCCACCAGCTGACTCCTCAGGTCCAGGGCTACTGTTCTCCTAGGAGACTCACTGCTAAAGAAAGGAACTTGGGATCACCTCTGGCCTCAGGCTTAGCAGTGGGTAGCAGATGGCGCAGCTAGATCCCCTCACATCTGGGGGTGGAGGGTCTGCTACCTCTGTCTCTCTTGGTCAAAGAGGGCCACCACTGGCTGCATCCAAGTAAATGAAATGGCCACTTCTTAGGAACTCTGCACTTGCCTAGAAGTGCTGTGAAAACTGCTTTGCATCAACTTTGACCATCTTAATTCCTTACCAGAGATTAGGATAAACTTTCGGGTTCCTCTCTCCCATGGCATGTCTTTCTTGGGAACCCAGATGAGTTGCTCCCAAGTCATGCCCTCCAGGATCTGGCTCCTCCTCACTCTCTTCCGTTCCTGCTGTACCACAGATAGATATACTTCCTCCAATGCTTATTTCATGGTCTGTGGGACCTGCAAGTCAGTGTCACAGTACGGAGCCTATAGACTATAGGTTTCTTAATCAGATCTTAGCAAGCAGGGACAAATCTGCCATTGTCCGCCACATTTAAGTCATCCAAGTTAGGGATTAAGAATCTAGGCGAAGCTGCTCTGACCCTAACGAGGGAACACCTGAGGCATCACATGAGGAACAGTTATGTGGACAGAATAGAGTCAATACTCAGGGACTCTCTAGGGATGTACAGGGCAAGTGAGAGTTTTTACCAGTGGAGGGAAATGGGAAGAGGCACATAGGGATCCTTCATGAACGAACTGACCCCGAAGCCTCCCTGCAGAATGGTGTGTTTGTGGAGTAACAGAACTGTGAGCCCTCATTCGAGTACCCAGCCTGCCCTGATCCGAATCTGGGAATGGGAAAGCACTTCCTCAAGAGCCCCAATGTCAAGTGACGCATATCAGAAAGGCACTTACATCCTTAGCTCTACTCCTCTTAACTCTACTCCTCTTCCTGTATCATCAGACCAGGCCCATCCCTAACTCAGGGAATTCTCAGAGTCAGGAGAAAACTGACCAGCGCCTGGACTTGAGCAGCCACCCCAGGTCTAGAAATCCCCAGAGCCTCATCACTGAGCTCTGTCTGCTCCGACTTGGCCCGGATGATGCTCTGAAGACTAGGATTTGTCCCAAGAGGTTAGTAATAACCCAGTCCTGGTCTAGGGACCCAATGAGCATTTTTCCATACATGTATGAGTGACTCTGGAATGGACTAGGAGGTCACATCTCAATGTCAGAGAATGTTACAGAGCATTCAGATGTTTGTATTTGCTGCTTTACCTCAATACAACAAGCCTCAAACGAGGGGAAGAGAAACAGTGCACCGCTGGCCATCAGCAGAAAGTGATACCTCCGTGGTTTTCTTCTCAAGCACAGCAAGAGAAAAGTGGAAGCAAACATCAAAGGTCTCTTTCAATTTGACCTGTTTCAAAGTTAGCACATCCTGCCCTTGGGCCTTTCTCTGGACTAGGAATTTCTTAAGAAAATATGTGATGAGAGGAAAACAGAACCCCCAGGAAGGTGACTAGTTTATCTAGGCAACACAGACTGTTGCATTTTGGACAAACTAAAAACTGTCTTCTTCTGTGTGAGCTGAACTAAAGTTTCAGAGAATAATATTTCCATGCAGGAGGCTGTTTGGTTTTTTAATCACAGAAGAAATCTCAGAAAAAAAGAACTGTATTTGTATCTGCCTTCCACTGCTGCCAATAGTGTAAACATCTCCTTCACAACCAACAATAAACAGCAAACGATGCAGTTCATAGAGTATTTTGCACTTGGGGAAAATATGTATCTGAACTTGTAAAAAGAAATGTTTGGATTTTGTATTGTCTTTTTATTATTATTAAAATACTAAATGAAACCCTTCAGCCTGGTATCTTTTCTTCTATCTCAGTAGCTTATACTAGAGCCAGAAAAAGCCTGGTGGATAGTGTCTTCTAGCTTCCAGATAAAATTTGCCCACATTTTTTAGTGATTCATCCTATTTCTTTTTGTTTGTTTGTTTGTTTATTTATTTATTTTTAACTTTTTATTGGTACTGGGGATCGAACTCACGACCACGTGCTTGCCAGGCAAGTGCTTATGCCGCCGAGCTAAATCCCCAGTCCTTTTTTTTTTTGATTCATCTTATTTCTAATGACTTTAGGATTTGAAAGGACTGGTCTTTTTGACTACCTTTAAAAAGCCGTATCAAGAATCATGGCCTGAGAGTAGTGGAGGAAATTTAGAGTTTTGTTTCTCCTCCCCACAGTATAATTTCCCAAAGCTGGCCAGGCCACAGGTGGCTCAGAAATTGTGTCCCACCTCCAGCACTGAGGGTCATTTCACAGTATTCCTTTCATGCAATACATTTTTGGAATATATTACATGAATACAGATCATCCAGTCACTACCATCATTTCTACTCCTACAGGGCACAGGAAAGCAATCTTCAATCTCTTAGAAATGAACAATCCCAATTTCTAGGCTCAGAGATGATAGGCAAGTTCATTAATGCAAGTATGTAAATCACTGACATGAAATTTTACTGGATCTAATATCTACACTATATATTCATTTGTAAGTATGACTTGAGGAAGAGGGAAAAATTTATCTGCTCATAGAATACACTGGGCTGACCTACCAGAACCTTGAACTTCCCCTTATTTAACATCTGTAATGAAGACCGGTGTAGTCATTCCACAATGACCAATCTCTTACATGCCAGCCAAGGCACATTCAGCTATCATAGCTTGAAGACCATAGCTCTATTCAAGGTCCACCCTCTGTAACTTTCTGACTAGAACTGATGTTGCCACAGTGATATCTCAACAGGGGGACAATTCAGCAGTACTCAGCTCTTATCATCTTTTAAAATATTTAATTCTACTTCCTACTATCAAAGAATGAAATTGTTTGCAAGCTTCTTGGCCCCATTGCTGCTTTTTTCTTTCTTTTTTTTTTGGGGGGGGGTGTGGGTAGTTACTGGAAATTGAATTCAGGACCTTGTGCTTGCCAGGCAGACACTCGTGCCACTGAGCTATATTTCTGGGCCCCACTGTTTCTTTTTTTTAATCAGTACCAGGGATTGAACTCATGACTACCTGCTTGCAAGACAGGTGTTTATGCCACTGAGCTAAATCCCCAGCCTCAGTCAAATCTTTTAAACATATAAAGGTTAGAGGCCAGAGATATAGCTCAGTGGTACAGTGCCCCTCTGGCAAGCACAAGGTCCTGAGTTTGATTCCTGGCACACACGCACACACACACACACACACACACACACACACATAAAGTTGAATTGTGAAGTCTAGCAAAATTATTGGAGTTATTCCTGATTTTTTTTTTTTTGGTCTTTTTTTGAGGCAAGGTTTCACTATATGGTTCAGACTAGACTTAAACTCACTTTTTAACCCAGGCTGGCCTCGAACTTAACAGCAATCCTCCTGCCTCAGCTTCCCGAGTGCTAAGATTACAGATGTGCACCACCACACCTATTACTCCTGATTTTTTAAGACAAAATTCTTATTTGAGGGTCCCCAAAAGTTGAACATGAGTTTGACAAAAGCAGTGCCACATGTTTACCAAGGGGATAACATGCCTTTTATCTCATTTCTCAAAAATGATAGCTTTAGCTATATACCATCTGGCACTATCTTGTTTTTATCATTTATTATGTAAATATTAGCTGGATATAATTTTTAATCTTGATGGGTTTTAGCAATCTATTTTACAAACTACAGTATATTTATTCAAATTAAAGAATAAAGCCAGACTTTCTTTACGGCCAGTAAGTTTGATTTGGTTTAAAAGGAAGACTACGTTTGCCAATTCCACAAATGGCAGATGTTTTCTATACAGTAAATGGTCTGAATATGCACTTCAAATTTTTAACAAAATGATCTTAAGGTATGTAATTATAAAAGAATTGTATAAAAAATTAAAAGCATGGGGCTGGGGATTTAGCTTAGTGGCATAAGCACCTGCCTTGCAAGCAGGCAGTCGTGAGTTCGATCCCTGGTACCGGTAAAAATGAAAAAGACAAAAAAAAAAAAAAATTAAAAGCTTATATTGGCTGGCATAGTCAGGCACCCCTTTCAGCAAAGCACTTTGGGAAGCTGAGGCAGGAAGAGTCCCAATTTAAGTCCAGTCTGGGCAACTCAACAATTTAGCATGACTGTTTCAAAATTTAAAAAAATAAGGAAGGGTTGGAGATGTAGCTCAGTGCAAAGACTGATATTCAGCACCAGGGAAAAAGCAAAAAACTGCAACAGAGTCTGCAACACAGTATCTGTTTAACAAAGTACCTCTTTAACAAAGTATCTCTTAGTGAAAGATAACAAGTAGAATCATTTTTCATACAACTAAAACAGACTCTAATGACTACTATATTCTTTTACAAGTTCAGTACTTTCCAATTCTTTGCTTTTAATCCAATCAAAGAAAAATCCCTTTGACAGTATTTGATAATAGAGCACACTGTAACTGTTGGAAGAATATCTTATCTCCTTCTAGTGTGAAGTAATATTCCCCACATTACTCATCAAGAGGTTCATAAACACTAACCTTTTTAGGATTCACAAGTTATAAAAACATAATACATTTATGTTGTTTAGTAAGTCATATACTAATAATTACAGGAGGTGGATGAATTAGGAACTCAAGAAGAAAGGGAATCTGTAAAATTTCTATTAAAAAAGAGTTTGCGCAAATCCAGTATTTGTAGATGTTTCAAATTTACTTCCTTTTAAGATTTTTTTTGAGGGGAGGGGAAGGGGGTTAAAAAATTAAAATATGTTATGCACTTGTACCAACTCCCCACGAGGAATACAATTACTATGTGCTGTAACATGTACTAATAAAAATGTAAAATTATAAAAATTACATTTTTAGTGGGCCACTGTGGTATACAGCTGTAATCCCAGCACTCTAAAGGCTGAGTCCAGAAGATCACCAAATTCGAGGTGGGCTGGGTAACCTAGAGACTTACTGAGTCTCAAAACAAAAAAATAAGGGCCTGGGATACAGCTGGGGTTTGTAGTCCTGGTTACTCCAGAGTCAGTTGCACGAGACACTGCCTGAAAAATTTGTAAATCTGAACAAAAGGTCTGGAGATGTACTTTAGCATAAGATTCTGGGTTTAATCTTCAATGCTGCCAAAAATACAAAAACAAATTTTGAAGGATACTAAAGAAAGGAGTCAAAGTCGGAAAGGATTGCAAGAGAAAGTTTCTCCCTTCATTCCTCCAAGCACCCAGTCCCGTTTTATTTTTTATTTATATTTTATTTTATATTGAGCCAGGGTCTTGCTCCCTCGTTAGGGCTCAGCTGCCCCACAGGTCTCGAATCCTTGATCTCTTGAGACTCAGCCTCACCTGAGTGCTGAGCTCAGTTTAAGGACCACGTTCCCCTTGGAAAAAGCAACCTTAACCCGCTCTCTAACGCTCCTTATTCATTTATTTTATTTATTTAGCTTGGAAAGTTCACTCCCTTTTCATTTCCCCCTCAGGTTTCTGAAATCGCCCCCACTCATGGCCCCTCTCCACGTGGAGGGAGAAATCACCTGGTTTGGGGCCTGCGAGGAGGGGTAAGCGGGGTCAGAAAAGAGACCTTAAGAGGCCCGTGCGGGCGCCGTCCCCAGAGCGAGGCCCTCACCGCGCCCCCGCGCCCTCCTTTTCGACACGGACCACCGGTACCTGCAGTCGCGTCCTTCAGAAACTGGCGCCAAGGTCAGCAGGCGAAGCCGGCACGCTGTGTCCCTCAGCTTTTTCCCCTCAGGCCTCAGTCGAGAGGCCGAGTCCGGGGACTCGCTCTGCCGCTGCCTCAGGTGGACTGAACGCCGGAATCCTTCAGGTGGCTGTCCCGGTTGCTATAGCGACGACGGACTCCGCACGGCTCCCGGGCGCCCCCTCCCCCGCGCCTCGGCGCGATGACGTCATCACGCCCTCGCCGGGCGCTTGGCCTCCTCACAGGCCTGCGTCTGCCCGGCCCGGGACGGAGTGGGGGGCGGGGCGCCGTGGGGGCTCAGCCGGTTCGGAGCCGGCTCGCCCGGGCTCCCGGGGGGCCCCGGAACCGGGATAAGTGGGTCAGGCGCCCCGGTGAGGGAGCCGAGGGTGGGGGTGGAGCTTGCCCTGTATTTCCTACACGGGTTCCGGGGCCCGGTGGAGGCGCGCCGAGAGCCGAGGGAAGTGCGGCGGCCCTGGAACCTGGATATCGCGCGAGGCAAGCCGCGCGCGGGCGGGCGGGCGCGCTATGGCGCAGGCGGGTTGCGGGGCTGGCGCTGGTGGCGGCGCCCGGTGCATGGCGGTCTGTCGGCGGAGTCGCCCTCAGGGGCTGTCAGGTTGGTGGCTGCGGGAAGAGTGGGTCCCCCGTGCCCAGAGCGGGAGGCCGGGCGGGCGCAGGGCCCTGGGAAAGTCCCGAGCCTGCCGTGCCCACCCTTCTCCGGCCCCAGCCCCGCGGCCGGGTCCCTGGTCGGTGGCCTGGCCTCAACCCCACCCAAGGTCCCTGCCCCTCCATTCCGCCCTGCGACGCCTCCCCGGTGGCTCCCAGACCCACCTCTTGATTGTGCCCGTCTCCACCTCTGTGACCCCTGCACCTCACCGGCTGGCCCCAGACCTCCAGCTGACCCTTCATTCCCACTCATTGATTTGCTACCCTAGCACTTCCCGGGGATCACGATCCAGCGACTCCCTCAGTTCCAATCAGTGACTCAGAAAGGACCACGTTCCCCGCATTCCTCCAGTGACCCCCACACTCTGCCCTGTGTCCCCCCACGTAACAGTGATTCCCCTTCACACCGCTCCTGACAGCTCCTGAGCCACACACTAGTTTACCGCCTACTTAGCGACGTAATACTCAGTGTCACCTAACCCCGTGATCTCCCTTCATTCTAAAATGACCCCCATTGGCATCACTGTGCCCTAGGATCTCTAGTGTCAGTCAGCACTGTGACTTTCAACTACATTCTGGCACTGAGGATGTAGAGATGAATGTGAAGTTTAGCGACATCTCAGGTTTAAGTCCTGTCTCTGCTTTTGGGAACCTGAGAGAAGCTCCTTCCTCACGCTGTGTCTCAGTTTCTCATCAGAACTGTGATAATTAGGTTGGGCTTAGATGATCTCAGGAGTCTCCTCCAGTTGTGAAATGTGAAATTCTGCAACTCTTGGTCAAGATAATAGTGGTTTGCAATCATTTTTTGTCCCCTGCTCTGGAAGTTTAGTCTTGTAACTTCAACGCAGGATCCACCAGCTTCATGATGTTTGTGCCCACACTCTCATGACCCCTCCACTTTTAGTTGTTCAAATTCATTAACCTTGATCAGGTCTTGCTGGTTGACCTGTTTGCAAAGCTGTATTAGCACAGCACTTCTGCTTGGGGCCTTGATGTCAGAAAATCAGGTTCTGGTCTCTTGGCCCTTCTGCTGTGGGACTTGGCAAACCCCTTTGGGGGTTTCTACTAAGGGAGGGTGGAAGTGGTGCTTGGAATAGCAAATGCTGAGCACTTGGCACCTGGAGAATCTTGTCTTCAGGAGCTCCTAGGAGGAGGTCTTATTCTGACCTAGATTCTAAAGGGTCAACAAAACACAAGACCTGTACCTTGCACAACTGCTGACATCTTCATCCTTATCTCTACTGCAGCATTCTTGCCTCTAGTTGTTTACCTTGATTCTGCCTTAATGATTGTTTACTGACTATATTCCAAGCTTTCAGCAAACCCAAGAGGCAGTTATATCCACCACCATTCTTCCCACCTCTTTTGGCTTGGTTTTTGTTTTTGTCTTTTTGATACAGGGTTTCACTATGCAGTTCAGGCTGGCCTTGAACTCACTTGGTAACTCAGGTTGGCCTTGACCACACAGTGATCTTCCTGCCTCAGCCTCCTGAGTGCTGGAATTACAGGCATGCACCACCCCATCCGGCTTGGCTTTTTTTTTTCTTTGTTTTAAATACACCCACAACTCATAAAATAAATAGCAGGGCTGGGATTTGAGCCTAGTCTTTAGAGTGAAGCAGCACACCTTATTTTATTGTTTCTGTTAACCCTTACCCTCAGATCTACCTACTGTTCCATATCAACTTCAGCCCTATGTTTCTTATTTTCTGATAATTCTTTTTTTTTTTTTTTTTTTTTTTTTTGTCTTTTTCCTTTTTATCGGTACCTGGGATCGAACTCACGACTGCCTGCTTGCAAAGCAGGTGCTTATGCCCCTGAGCTAAACCTCCAGCCCCCATTTCTGGTAATTCTTAAACTCAACATCAACTGATTCCATGATCCTCACGGCTTCTAGGACCCTTTGTTCATGGCTCTTGACCCTTTCAACCCTGAGACCCTCTGCACCTTGTACAGGAGGAAAATATTTTTTATAGCTGAGGCTCCCATAACAAAAGATTAAAATGTTTGATCAAAAAGACATATTTCCTATAATGTTTATGGGGATCAGAAGTCTTCAATAAGGAAATAAGAGCTAAAGAAAAGGTTAAACCTGTGTATTTTGATGCTAGGTTTGATGAATGGATATGTGGAGAAAGACAAAGATCTAGTGGTAACAAACAGGGAAACTTAGCAGCCCTGTTTGTTCAGGTTCTTCTCTGTACTCCTGTATCTTCAAAAATAAGGACACTCCTTTCTTTAGGGAATAGGGCACCTGTCACATGAGTGTTTTGTCACCTGCTTCAGCATGGAGGTGACAGTGACCTACCTGCTTCTGTCATTTTCTCAAATTGCCACGTTTTGAAGTAGTGTGTCCTGAACCCAGTGAGCTGTGCATATTACCTTCTTTGCTAGTTCTTGGAGCTCCTAACCTTTATCCCATGATTCACCCCAAAGTGTCTCCCACCCCACTGACTTTACCCCTAACCACTTCCCCCCAGGAACCCAAAAATCCATGTATTATAAGACCTCAATCCTGGTCTTTCTTCCTATGATCCCTTCCTGGTTTTAGTGTTGGAGTTCTGGCTTCTCCTTCCCCTTGTACCATCCTTAGCCACATCCTGTTCCTTGTACCTCTTATCTGATCAGCCCCTCATCCCGTGTCTGCTAGGCCCGGCTTCAGTGATGTGAGCCCCTCCATGCCGACATGGACCATCTCTTACAACCTGTCTCTACCCCTGAGATTCTTCCTCTGCACACCCCCGCCCAATATCCTGATCTCTTGGCCTCTTCCCATTTTCATCAAGAATCACCTTTTCAACCCAAAATTGTCATTTTCAAGCACCCTCTCTTCTTCTTCCCTCTCATTTGTCTCCCTAACCATCCACTGTTCACCAATCTTGTTTCACAGCTTTATTTATTAGTGGATGTTGGTATACAGATTTTTACCTCACCAGTTTTAATGTACTTCGTCTTTCACACCAATTTCATCAACCTCTTTGCAAAGTTTTTGCGAAGAACTACAGTACATTCTCTGGGAACTGATCACCAAGGTCTCGGTTCTTCAGGGAGCAAGACGAGAGCTCTTGGAAATCCTTCAGGACTCCTCTGGCTGTGTCTCCTGGACAGGTCCCCACTGTCCTGTTTATGAAGCTGCTTGCTGTAGATGCCCTGGGGGTAGAACGCTTTGAGCCCAGCCTTCCCCAGCATTGAATAAGCTCCATTGTTTCCGAAGTCCTTAGCAGGACTTTCCACTCCCTTCCCACTGGAAGCTGGATGGTGAGTAGCCAAGGTGACATAAAAGAGCCACATCTGAAAGCGTGTTTTGTGCTCACCAAATTCCCAAGTCTCCTGTAATGTACTTACTGGTACAGCGATAAATACAGCAAGAGGTGAAAAATCCATTAGGGGCGGGATATGCCATGGGGTCTACAGCTTCGGGTGGGGTTAAAAAGGAGCTTCTGTCCTAAGTGTCTCTCTCAGGGCACGGAACATACTCTAGTTATTTGAGTGCTTTTCCCTGCAGCCACCCTGTGACCTCCTTGAGAACAGAGACTAGGTTTTATCTCCTGTCATCTTTTCCGGCCTCTCCTATTTAGAAGGTAGCCAGTAAATTCTTGATTGAATTAACTCAGAAATTCTGTGTCATATACAAGTCAAAACAGCTCACCGGTATGTTTTGTGACTACAACCTCGTTCTCCATTGCCCTCCCAGCAAATAATGGACAAGTCCCTTAATTTAGTCTGCAATTTTAAGTACTTCCTTTTTTAGTCATTGTTCTGGTGAGGGAATGGGTGTGTGTGTGTGTGTGTGTGTGTGTGTGTGTTTTCTCCATGTTCTTGGTATTACTAGGAAGATTTCCTGGTAGACTGCAGTTATAATAAAGTCAAGGTCTGTCTTATATAGACCTGTTCCCAAGAAAGCAAAGAGATGAAATACATATTTGAGGGTGGCAGAAAGAATCAGAGAATAGAGGGAATGATTGGCCAAGTGTTAGAAATCACTGAAGTTGTCTACGGCCATACCACTCTGAACACGCCCGATCTCGTCTGATCTCGGAAGCTAAGCAGGGTCGGGCCTGGTTAGTACTTGGATGGGAGAAATCACTGAAGTTACGCGGTGTGTTTATGAGGTTCATTATACCATTGTTTCTGCTTTTGTGTATGTTGGAAATCTGTCATAAAAAGTTGGGGGTGGGCAGCTAATGAACGAAGACAAATTTAGCACTGCTTTTGGAAAATACCTCAAAGCAAATGAGCTGCTGTTACTGAGTCAGATATCTAGATTAAGTAGTATATTTAGTCCTAACCCATCTCTCACCTCATCTGTTGGCGAGTTCCCAAGAAGCTAAACTAAAAAATTAGCACTCTGTGGAATTCTCTACCTGGTGGCCTGGGAACTGTGACATCCAAGCAACAAGCACCTGTTGCCCTGGTGCTTTCCTGCACAGGCGTGGTTCCTGATAGAAAAGAGCTGGAGAGGTGAGGCTTGAAGGAGCTGGACCCTCCCTGGGCAAGGTGAAAGACTGGAGCTTAACTAGGTCTCCTGTGGCCCAGAGCTGCACAATTACTGGCAGGTGCTAATGACCTGGGTATTCATCCTCTGGTCCATGCGTTCACCCACATGTATTTGGTGAATGTGTGCTTTGTCCTTGGGATGGAGGAATGAGCTCACCTGTTAGGGCGTGGATGAGGGCAAGGCAGACCATAAAATATAGATCAAGAACAGTAAGCAGAGGAGAGAGAGAGTGCCAAGCACCTGGGTTTTATAATTTTAAACAGTGGCCAAGGAATGGCTCCCTGAAAAGATAATGTTTGACCAAAAACCTGAGAGAAGTTAGGGAGAGTCAGCATATGTGGGGGACGTTTATTCTGGGCAGGGTAAACAGCAAGCTCAAGGCTTGGTGTATTTGAAGAAGGTGAGGAGACCAGCCAGTGTGACTGCAGTAGTGTAAGCATGAGAATACCAGATGTTAGGCTGAGTGGACAGAGGCCCCGCGTGTTGGATAAGATCCACGGAATTTTACTGTGAATTGTGGGTGACACGGATACCATGAGAGGATTCTAGGCAGTGAGTGACATGACCTCACCAGTGTTTTAAAAAGATGGTTCTTTCTGCGTGTATTGAGAATCAGCTGTAATGGGACAAGGGCGGAAGGAGGTCAGAAGCTTGTCTCAGTGGTCAGGATGACAGACAGGTCTGGCTTGGATCCACAGTAAGGGAAGAGCACCAAGTAGTTGGGTTCCGGATTGACTTTGTAAGGGGGCCCAAGAGAATTGCAGGTGGATGGGACGTGGAAGCTGACTCTCGCAATTTGGGCCTGAGCGCTAAAGGATGGGATTCACATTTACTGAGATGGGGAAGCTCGCAGGGAGGCAGGTCGTGAGAGGAGGGGACAGGGAGTTCATGTCTCCTGTGAGATGTTTTTTGGGTATCAGAGTAGCGTCATTGCGTAGCAGCTGGGCGTACAATTGTGTTGGCACTAGAAAGTACCTGTTCTCTCAGGACCCAGGGAGAGGCAGAGGAATATGGTGGGAAGCGCTCTGGTGGCTTAGGTGTCAGGATGTGCTCTGCTACCAGGTAGCCGCGTGGGCCTTTGGCACTCCTCAGCAGTGCTGGCTGGGTCTTCACCATTGATGGGAAGAATCCTTCCTTTGTTTGCTAAAGTAGTACCAACAGAGTGCCTGCCATGTGCTGGGTGCTGTGCCACACAAGGACGCAGTGACAAAAGCTGAATCTACACCCTCAGGATCTACACCCAGGAGTACTGCAAACCTGCCCCCGATATAGGCCCACCTGTTACAGGCAGAGGGAACACAAGGTGGGTGTCTGACCTTCGGGTGTGACGTTAGCCAGGGAGAGCTTTTGCTGGACCTGGATCTGGGAGGAAATAGCGATCATGGGTGTCAGAGAGGAGGCAAGTGATCTTCTAGTCAAGCAAGTGTCCAGCCTCCCTGTGACTGAGGAAGAGCTAAAACAGTTGAAAAGTAATGTGCTAAGGGTCTCATTCCTCCCCACCCTCATTTTTTTCCAACATTTACTTTCTTTCGAGGAGCCTCTCTTAAAAAACTCATGGCTGGGCATGGTAGTGCATTCCTGAAATCTCAGGACTCAGATGGCTGAAGCAGGAGGATCACCGTGAGTTTGAGACTAGCCTTGATTACATAGTGAGTTTAAGGCTAGCCTCAATTACACAGTGAGGCCCTACCTCTAAACAAAACAAAATAAAACTCATAGTTTTTTACAATAGATGAAATCTGGATGTAGACGTTTTGGTTAGCTTTCCTTCCCAATAAGCAGAACCAAACCAGGATTCAGATTGAGTGAGCCACAGTGCGGTCAGCACTGGGTACACAGTAGCACATGTCTGTGATCCTGGCCACTCAGGAGGCTGAGGCAGAGGGATCACAAGTTCAAGGCCAGCCTGGGTAACTTAGTATGATCCTGTTTCAAAATGAAATTGTAAAAAGTCTAGTGATGTAGCTTAGAGCTTCAGAGTCTCCAATGCTGGAGGGAAAAAAGCAAAACAGAAAACAGTGTGGGGTGGTGGTGGTTAATTAGCTATGTGGCCTAGTGATATTAATCACTGGTATCTTTCTGCACACTCTTCATTAGGTACTAATTAAAACACAAGGCATGTTTTCCAGAAACTTAAATTATAATCAGTATGACATTAAAAATGTGTTATTTTCCCCTAAAAGAGTTGAGTATTAAGGAAAACACACATACTCTGGCCACGTAATCCATTAATCCATCTGGAAAGTGTCTTTGGCTGTGTTTAACCACTTGGTGGATGTTGGTGTTTTTTGGTAGTGCCCCCGATCCCTGGGCATCCGGGCCAGGACCTCTGATTGGATGCCTGAAAGTGGCCAGTACTGAACCCTGTAGGTACTGTTTTCTTCAGCATAGTACCTCTCAGTAGTACCTTTTCCTTCTTAACTAAGCATTTGTCATGATACCGTGGCCATAATTTTTGTGGTGTAAGTCCAACAGCAAAACTATTTAAAGTTATTTTTCCTTCATGATTTCATGGTTGGAGAATTCGTTTTTACCGTCGATCTTAGCAACCTCAGCAAACAATCTTATTTTTCTTATTGAGGCTTTTCACCTTTTTGCTTAAAGGAAGCACTTTATGGCTACTCTTTGGTATGTCTGAATTACCAACATTACTTTACTCTTCCACTTTGGGGCCATTATTAAGTCAAATATGGGTTATTTCAGGTACTGCTGTCCATGACAGCCTGACACTGAACTGGCTTCTAAATGACTAATCGGAGGGTAGCGTACCCCTAGATAATGTGAGTGCCCTGTAGCAGAACAGCACAAGACTTTGTCATGTTACAGTTTAAAACTTACAAGGTAGTGAGCAGAATAGCATAGCAGCACCGTGCTGAACCCGTGAAACATTTTTTTTAACCCATAAAACTTACGACTTGGTTAGTTCTGATCTTTTTCATTTAATATTTTCAAACTGTGGTTGATTTGGTGGGTAGGTAATCTTGAAAGTAAAATCTGGAATGGTGATGGGGTAACTGTATTGTAAGGAGAGTCTCTGACCGGGTAAACAAAAAAATAATATATAGCCCATCCTAACTGTAGACCATGGACAAAACTAGTTTAGAGTAGTTGTATAATCAGCATCTATTGCTTAGTGAAATGGGAAGAATTTATCCTGGTGATTGGAAAGAAAAGCAACTCACAAATCTGAGTGGAGATTAGGCTGTCATCTTTAGCTTCCTTCAAGTGCTGATTCCTGAAGCAACAAGCAAACCTCAGGTATAGAAATGGGCTGAGGGGATCTCATGCCGTCATCTGTGTCGCTGGTAGCAGTACAGGACTTATGGCATGGAATCACAAAGATCTGCATGTTGGATGGGTAACTCAAAGCCCGGTAACCTGCTGGAGTGCTGCCCGGGGTTTAACACTGCCAGAGATTGCCATCCTGCGAATTGTTCATCTCTGACCTCACTTTATAACAGTTCATGTGCTGGAATTCCCTTCAGCTTTGCAATGGTCAATACAGTATGAGATGCAGTTAATTTAACAAAGTAATCAGGGGCTCCTTGGGATTGTAAGGCTCTCCTACATCTTGAGGCGTGAGAGCAGTGATATGCTCAGGTACTTGAGCCTGGAGTTCTTTTCTCTGTCAGTGACCATCCTCTAAACCTAAGAAGTACCACAGGGGGGCATCACAGCCAGGAAGAGAATAGTCCCTGTTTAGACTCTGCATCCGCCAGAACTACCCTCATGACCAGCCGAGGGCACCCACCTGTCGGAGCCTGTGTGTCAGGTTCATTATAGACCACTGCTGCCTTGTGATTGGCTTGACCCGCTTTCCACATGGAATTCCTTAGTGGCACTCGTGCATTGTGAGCTGAGGTGCTTCTGTTGCAAACCTGTAACATCATGGACTCCTTTTATTCCATCACTTGATGATGGCTCGTGATTGGGGAATCACAGATGTTCCTGGAGCCAACAGAGAGGGCAAAGTATGCTTTTAGACTTCTTGAGTCTTGATTATCCTTCCATGGACATTCTAGTGCTATTAGTAGCTCACAAAAGGCACCATTGTGTACCTTACCAATTTTATTTCCTTTATTTTTAGGTTTTTCCTAGATTAATAGGAGTGTCATTTGTATTTACATAATATGGAAATTCATATTAATAGATATTTATGCTGTTTCTTTTCTGTGTGTGTATGTATGTGTGTGTTAGTGCATGATGTATATGTGTGTGTTACTGGGAATCAACAGCAGGGGCAGTCTGTCACTAAGCTATGTCGACCCCGCCCCTTCTTTTTCTTTGCTTTTTGTTTTTTGAAACAAGGTATCCCTATGCAGTGCAGGCTGACCTTGAACTTAGCGTGTAGCCCAGCAACCTCCTGCCTCAGCCTCCCAAGTGCTGGGATTTCAGCACTGTGTCAGCCACTCTTAACTGCCTTTTCCATTTTTTAACAGTCTCACTAAGTTTGCCCAGTCTGACCTTGAACTTATAACTCTGCCTCAGCCTCCTGAGTACCTGGGATTCTAGGTGAGTACCACTGTGCCTGACTGGAATAGATGTTTTTCTTTGTAGAGTCTAGGAGAAATGATGGATAGGAAATAATAGGAAGGCTGTGGGGCAAGAAAAGGGAAACCTCAAGGATGGAAGGGCTGGCTTTTCAACCAAGGGAGCAGGTTTAGTGTAGAGCTGCCTCTTAGCCCCTTGCTGGCGTCTTTTTATTTCAACCTTGTTTTGTTCTTACAACACTGGAGATTAAATCGAGGTCTCCTACATGATAGGCAAGCACTGTAAGCTACAGCCCATTGTATATTATTATTATTATTATTATTATTATTATTGAGATAAGGGCTCACAAAGTTGCCCAGGCTTACTTCAAACTTGCCATCCTCCCGTCTCACACTCCTAAATAGCTGACATGTGCGACTTGTGTCTGGCTCAACCATTTTTTAAACTGATTTTTAAATTCTTTTTTTTTTTCAGTGCTTATGGGTTGTACCCAGGCCCTTGTGCATGCTAGGCAAGCCCTCTACCACTAAGTTATAGCCCTTTGGCTTTTTTGTGTTTTTTAAGACTTCTACCCCTAGGGGCTGGGGGTTTAGCTCAGCAGGATAAGCACCTGCCTTGCAAGCAGGCAATCATGAGTTCGATCCCCGGTACCGATAAAAATGAAAAAGACAAAAAAAAAAAAAAAAAAGACTTCTACCCCTTTAGCTGTTCACTTCTTTTTGGCCCCTTCTAGCCTTGTCTCAGATGAAGCTGAGTCTTTCGCAGTTGGAACTGGATCAGTGTCCAACCATATGTCTTTTTTTTCTCACTTACAGTTAATTTGTTAATCCCACTTCATTAATCCAGATGGCCTTCATGGTTTTTGTCTAAAACATTTAAACACGAATCATTGTCCAAGTAGCTCTTGGTTTTTTGTGCATTCTTTTTGTGGATGAATTATGAAGATAGGGTTATTAGATACTGAATCTCGCACCTTTTCCTGTAGGGTTAAACACAGATTGTTCTTTTGAGAGCTTGCAGCAAGGCACATTTGTGCTGATCTCTCCAACTGGCGAACCTCAATAGGTGGATTTGGGATTTTTTTTCTAAAATAGGCTTTCTTAAGTGATTTTAAGTTTTTAGAAATATTGAGCAGAATGTACAATAAGTTATTATTAACATCTTGCACTGGCAGAGTGTCTGCCACAGTTGGTGAACCGGTATCAATCCAGTATTAGTAAAGAATCTACACAAGGGTTGTAAATTCTGTGGGTTTGGCCAAAAGCGTGATGTTATGTCATTTCCACAGTATCGAACAGAAGAGTTGTGCTGCTCTAGAAGTCCCCTGCGCTCTTCTTGTTCTTCCTTCCCTCGTTGACCCAGGATTGCTGGTAATCACAGTTCCTTTTATTGTCTCTGTGGTTTCCCTCCTCAAGAATGTCACAGCATTGAGCTCATTTGTACCTGGCCTTTTCAGACTGAAGTCTTTCACTTAACAAGTGTGCATTTAAGGTGCCTGATGTCTTCTGGCTCATTTCTTTCTTTCTTTTTTTTTTTTTTTTTTTTTGGTGGTACTAGGGATTGAACTCATGACCTCGTGCTTGCCAGGCAGGCACTTATGAGCTAAATCCCCAGCCTGGCTCATTTCTTCTTTCTACTGAATAATATGCTGCCAGAGAAATGTATCAGTGTGTGTATTGAAGGACATTTTGGTTGTTACCCAGTTTTTAGCAACTGTAAATGAGGCTGCTATAAATGTTCATATGCAGCTTATTTGAGTAAATACCCAGAGAGCGTGATTGCTGGATCATACAAGGGGCGATCAAAATATACGGTGAATTTTTAAAAGACATTTCTAAAACTGGGCTGGGGATTTAGCTCAGCGGCATAAGCACCTGCCTTGCAAGTGTGTGGTCGTGAGTTTGATCCCTGGTACCAATAAAAATACAAGGAAAAAAAAAAGAAATTTCTAAAATTATTACAAGAAAAGGTACATTTCCATCAACCTCCCTCAGAGCAGTCCCCCTTATTTCAAACACACCCATCTCTTTAGCACTTTCTGAAGCAGTCCTGGAAGTCATCTTTTGTGTCCTTATGAGCTATGACCAAAAATATGTTGACTGCTGCTGCTGCTGAGTGCTTCCGGCAGAAACACGGGCTTGTGCAAACGCCACAGTGCGTCCTCATCCTCCTTATCCCTGGATCTGGCACTGTGTGACTCCGGGCCCTTCCCCTAAGTCAGAATGGCCATGAAAGGGAAACGCTCTGAACTGATTCAGGACGTAAAGGCTGCAACTGTACAGCTAAACAGAACTTGCAGAATTGCTTCGGAAAGTGACAAGAACACTAGAGTACATGTATTCAGCGAGAGGGGCAGTGTTGGAGGGTAATTAGCGGCAGTGTGTCCTTCACTGTGTTAATGATCTTTTTAGATTTAGATATACTCTGTAGTTTCAGTCCCTGCTCATGTAATGAGCACGGCTGCGCGTGAGAAGCTGTCTTCTTCCACGGTGCCTGTGCTGTGTTTGCGCTCCCAGCAGCAGCGAATGAGACTTCTCGTCACTGCACGTCCCTGTCAGGCCTCCATGTCAGTTTCTGGATTTTCACCCTTCTAATCACTGTGTGGGAGTGTTTCATTGACATTTTAATTTGCAGCTTTCTAATGACACAATGTTGTGTCCTTTTCTGTGCTTTTTTTTTTTTTTTTTTTTTTTCTTTTCTTTTCTGTCTTTTTCCTTTTTATCAGTATCGGGGATCGAATTCACGACTGCCTGCTTGCAAGGCAGGCGCTTATGCCGCTGAGCTAAATCCCCAGCCCCTTTCTGTGCTTATTTGCCACCTCTGTATCTTCTTTGGTGAGCCGTCCCTTTAGACCTTCATTTCTCTTTTTGAGACAGGGTCTCAATATGTGGCTCACGCTGGCTTTGAACTCAGTACATGTGTAGCCCAGGGTGGTCTGGACTCATGGCAGTCCTTCTGCCTCAGCCTCCTTTGCCCATTCCTTTTTCTTTTCCTTTTTGTACTGGGGATTGAACTCATGACCTTGTGCATACCAGGCAGGTGCTTGGGCCGCTGAGCTAAATCCCTGGCCTGCCCATTCTTTAAGTGGGTCATTACACCCTGTGCATATTTCTTTGTCACCTTGACTATTGAATTTTGTAATTCAATAGTCAATTTTTGGTAATTGATAAGTTAATTTTTGGTAATTTGATAACTAATGTCATGATGATTCTTTCCTGTTCTTTAATTATCGAAAGTCAAACTTTTAAAAACTTATTTATTTACTGTGGGGTTGGTTTTGTTTGTTGTTTGTTTTTTGTTTTTTTGGTACCAGGGATCGAACTTATGACCTTGTGCTTGCCAGGCAGGCAGTTACACCGATGAGCTAAATCCCCAGCTACTGTGGGGGTTTTTTTCCTGTATTTTTTTACTTACATGAATTCATATTATACCATTTGTCCAGTATTATACCATTTGATATTATTTTTGGAACTTTGTATATATCTGGGTTTTTTTATATAATATATTATTTTTTCTTTAATATTTTCCCATTTTTTAAACCAGCTCTTCACTTGATTTTCCTTTGCTTCAGAAGTCTAAAATTTCTCTTCTCAACTGGGATCCAGTTATTGTTCCATTTTGATGAACTGATGAAATAAAAATTGAGCCTTTTTATCTTAGGCACTGTTTTTAAAATAGTACGTAGCTATGACAGCCCTATCCCTCCTCAGGTTGATGGGATGTTTCATTTTCAGACAGCTGTCCACAAGCCTGTGGTGACCCCAGGCTGAACTGCAGAAACAATTCAGACTGACCTTCATCCTGTCTGTGCTGCTCCACTTCTTGTGCAAAGCTTACCCTTAGGACAGCCCTTCCAAAATGCCTCATTCTGGACTTTGCATTAACTAAAGGTGGGTTGGAAACCCAGGCATGATTTCCATATTGGCTGTTTACAAACTGAGGTGTTAAAATTACTTGAATATATGGCTTAAAATTAGATTTGAAGTTATTTGTTTTAGTTTAAATGAATTCCATTCTGTAATAATGGGGTCTGTATTTTCATTGCCCTTTTGGAGTTGGCAGTAATCCACGTTGCCTAATTATCCTCTTTTCTGTGACTAATTCACATCTATAGAGTTGCAGTAGCCAAATAGGAACCATACTAAAAGTATGATTTGGGCTTTTAAAATCAATGTGCTTTTTGCAAAGAGATGTTTAGCTGATGTTTTACATTTGTGTTCTGTCAATGCAAGTTTCTGTTTTTAATTTCCTGTTTTCTCTTCAGTGTTTAGAAACCCACAGAACTAAGCTCACTTCACTAGGGTTTGTATTGTGTGTGTGTGTGCATTGAAGTCTTTTTCTATAATAACAAACACTGAACCATTTTACTGCAGCTCCTCCAGATGTGGTTCTGGTTTGTTCCCCACTTGTCTGCATCAGCCTTCATCCCTCCAGCACAGTGTTTCTCTGCCATCTAGGAGAAATTTTCCGTGTTTGCAGATAAGGAATTTTCTGAGTAAAAATTGTCATGATTTCTTTTTTAGTCAAAGCTGAGCATTCTTCTCTTTCCAAGCAAATGTATACGTTTGTTTGTCTTTGGACTTTAAACACAGTTGCCCTCGAGGCTGCTGAGGCAGAGTATAGAAAGCCCTGTTCTGGGTCCAGGGAGTTCTGCCTGGCAGAGGGTGAGGGAGAGTAAACAGGTGTCTGTGGTCACCACAGCCGCGCTTGGGTGTGGATCAGATTAGACCTCAGCCGTGTGACAAAGCCGAGAGACAAATACCATGGCTGGGCTATAGCTTCCTGTCTTTCACATCCCTTATTTTTCTGCATCAAGGAAGCAGTTTAAATGCATCTCTCTTTTTTTTTTTTTTTTTTTGTCTTTTTGTCTTTTTTCATTTTTATCGGTACCAGGGATCGAACTCACGACTGCCTGCTTACAAGGCAGGCGCTTATGCCGCTGAGCTAAATCCCCAGCCCCAAAGGCATCTCATTTTGTGGACATATCCAAAGCATCAAAAAGTTTTTTCCTGCTACCTGTTCCCAATAATTACAAATTCTGCTTTTATAGTAGGAAACATGTTGGTATATTTTAAAGCTGTGGGGTTGTTTCCTGCATTAGAGCTCACAATGGATTAAGGTCATTTAAAAAAAAAATACAACAAACAACTGGACATGAGCCTTATTCTGGAAAGTCAAACGTGATCCCTTTTGGTTCAACCTGTTGTCATCACTCTTAACACTCTTCCCCCTTCCCTAGTTGGGCTCTCTCTGGTACCCAGATCTGGTAAACCAGATCCCCGCTAAGGAGAAGACAGAAGAGCTGTCCCCCAGCTACCTCCTCAGGGCCTCAGGAGTCAGGAATCTGCAAAGGCCAGGGCAGACAGCAGCTGCTCAGATGCAGGACCTGAGGCAAGACAGGCCTCTCTAGCTCTGCCCTGTCTCTGCTGGCAGTCACCAGAAAACCCTCTCTTAAGGGAAAAGGAGAGAGAGAGCAGTGGGAACCCTAACATGTGCTTGGCAGCCATGAAACACCCTCACCTCCTGTGGTCAGGCAGCCTTAGAAAACTAGAGAGCACCTGTGCACTGTTTTAACATTCTGTGTTACAAGTTTTAAAGAGGAAAAGTGAATGAGGTGAGCTATTTATTTTATTGTACTAACAAGTGAAAATTTGTTTTGAGTCTCAGGAGGATTATTTTGGGAAATGCGGCTACTGGCTCTTCCCTGCTTCCATTGTGGGCAGACCAAGAAAGACTGGGTTTAAGTTCTAATGGGTGGGGTAGAAGCTAAACAAACTGTGTTCAAGTGTTTTTGAGTGTCAACGGTGTGTGGATCACAATGGGTTAGCAAAAGGAATGCGTGAATTAGATTCTGAGAGGTCCGGGTGCTACGACAAGCAGCCTGCCTCTGAATCCTGGCTTTAGCCTTGGTAGCTTTGGGACCTTGACCTTAGTAACCTCATCTGTAAAAGGGGATGGTATATCTGCCTCCTCATGCAGAGTTTTAAGATTGAAAGAGTTGAGCAGTGGCTGGCACACACCGAGGAGCACGTGTATGATGGATGTTGTTAGCATGAGCAATGGAAAGGATCATAGGGCCGTTGGCCAGCGCTTCATTTCACAGATAAAGAAGCAGACATAAGAGATGAAATCAAGATGAGAAGCCAGTTCTGCAGACCTCTAGTCTGGGGCTGTGGCCACCGTTCCTGGCTATATTTTAAAAATACGTGGACTTCAAAAGCATTTCCCTTTAGGGTCATCTACCTTCTCTTTCTCTTCAGAGCCAGTATTTCCAGAGTACTTCTTGTATGGCAGCCCTGTGTGACTTCATTTAATCCTTACAGCAACCTGGGAAGCAGCTGCCACTCGTATACCCATCTTAGCACACCAGAGGCTCAGAGCTGTTCTTATGCGTGCCCACAGCTGCCCAGCTTCTGAGAGAGAAAGCCTGGATGGGAACAAGGCTGTCTGATGCTAGAGCACACCTGCTAAAAGCACCCCTGCTGCAGGAGCCACAGGGCGCAGTCGTAAGGGCTTGCGGTCCTTTTTTATGTTGTTGTTGTTGCTTTTATTTCAGTGCTGGGCTTTGAACCAAGGGCCCCACACATGCTGGGCAAGTGCTCTACCACTGAGCTACACTCTAGGCCTCTTTATTTTTAAATGACACAGGGTCTCACTGAGTTGTCCAGGATGGCCTCAAACTTGTGATCTTCCTGCTTCAGCTGCCCAAGTAACTGTGCCTTTCAACCTACAGCTTGCTTTGCTTGTACACCACAGTGTCTCCTGTATGTCTCTATTTCTGACACAGCCTGACTGCACTGAAACAGTTTGGTTTTTTTGTTTTTTGTTTTTTGTCTTTTTCCTTTTTATCAGTACCAGGGATCGAACTCACGACTGCCTGCTTTACAAGGCAGGCGCTTATGCCGCTGAGCTAAATCCCCAGCCCCATGAAACAGTTTACAAAAGAATCTCTCTCCATGATTTTAAAAAGAATGAAACAGGAGGGCTATAGAGTAGATCACAAGAAGTCAAGACCAGGAGCTTTTGTGAAATAGAAACCACTGAGATTATCAGGGCCCTTAGCAAGGTAGAGATCACTTTCAAGATCCTAAAGGACCAAATAAGTCGGATTGGGTTTCAGCATTCCCATCTCGACCAGTAGTTGTTTTCATTTTATCCTGTAAGATTCTGATGACAAACTTGGATTGCCTGAAAAATTCAGAGATCACATTCCAACAAGGTATTTTCAGGTAATTTTGGGACCCCCAGCTTCGAACTATTTCTGTACTTGTTAGTGAAGTAGAGAATTTGAAGGCACACTAGATCGGATGGCCTGGGTACAAAGCCACCTCTCATACTCACTGGCTTTGCAGCCTTGAGCAAGTTATATGCAATTAAAAGAGTTTAACTAGGGGATGGAGATTTAGCTCAGTGGCATAAGCACCTGTCTTGCGAGCAGGCGGTCGTGAGTTCGATCCCCGGTACCGATAAAAAGTTAAAAAAAAAAAAAAGTTTAACTGTAAAGTAGGAGAAATACTGTAATGACATGGAAGAATAAAGTTGTTGCTTATACATGATTAGCGCTTCAGTGGTATGCACTATCAGTAGTAACAATATTGCTTTTTGGAGTTTAGCTTAGTATTCATGGGTAGGATGAATGAATAGTTCCCAGTTGAGATGCCAAGTCTAGAGTAGACCATCCCAACCAGGATGTCACAGACAGGCTGTAGTTATGCCAAAATATTGATCTGCTCAATTCCTGAGGCTGCCAAGGCCCCAGCTGGTTGTTTCTGGCTTTAAGCAATAGCAGCTGCCGTGTGACACACAAATGCCCTTCTCTCTGCATGCCCTGACATGAAACAGACTGGTGGGTAATAAGGCTCAAGCAGGAGCCCAATGCCAGGACCAGGAGAGTTCTGTGGCTGGCTGACAAAAGGAGCCTCAACAGCTGGACCGAGAGCAGCTGCTGTGGCTTCCTGCAGGCTTCCTGAGTGTGGAGTCTACAGCTAGGCCTAGCTCCATGCCACAGCAGATACCTGATGTTTTGTGGACAACCTAGAGCTGGAGGTGCTGGAGAAACAGCTGTGAACCTAGAACCAGACTGGAGCCCAAAGTCCTGAGTAGGCTGCAGATCTTAGATGGGTGGTGATAAGTACCAAAGAAAGGGCACGTGGGGATGTGAGTGCTGGAAAGAGGTGCTGCCCAAGCCACAGAATTTATAACAGGACCCAGCCTTATCTGCAAGGTGGACTCCAAAGGTGACAGGAAACTACTGAAGGTTTTAATTAGGGAAGTGGGATAATTAAGTTTGGACATTTTTTTGTCCTTGGGTGATGCTGGGACCACTGAGGACTCCTGCACACTAGGCCAACACTCTACCACCAAGCTACACTCCAAGCCCTGTCCTTTGTTTTGTGTGGTGCTAGGGGTGGAACCCAAGGACTCCAAGCTTTGTTTTGTTTTGTTTTAAGATAATCCTGATAGCTTGTAGAAAATCTATTTGAAATAGGCAAGAGTTTATCCAGGACATAGAGGATCTGACTGTTGTGATGTGAGAGATGCTACTGCCTAAAATAGGTAGCTGGAATTTTGAGAGAAAAGAAAGACTCAAGGCTGACCCTTCTGCATCTGGACGGGAGGAGGAACCATCTCTAGGTGGGGATAAATCCAACGGTTAGCCTCAGTGTGGATCTTAGGGGAAATTTGATTTGTCTCATAACCAATTCAGTTTGCAACCAGAATCATGGAAAGAATTAAGTTCATCAACCGTATTTGTCTCTGTCCTGGCCATCTTCATTGACTGCTTGCACCAGCAGGAAGCCGTGCAAGTCCTTATGAGACACTGGCCATTTTTTCAGATTTGTGACCCACAAGGAACTCTCTGACCTCAGCTGTGGCTCTCGGTGCTGGCCAGAAGCCAACTTCATGTCTGAACACACGAGCAGCCGTTTGCCATGGAGAGCTTGGGGCTGCAGACGGTGACCCTTAGCGACGGGACGACAGCCTACATCCAGCAAGCTGTTAAAGGTGAGTATTTCCAGAGACCTCGGCATGCTGTCCCTCAGCCTCTGGAAAGGAGAGTCCCTTTCTGAGAGTCTCAGCACTGTGCCCTCCTACCCTGCTCGCCTCTGCCCACCACCACAGCTGGCTCTGCTTGAGGCCTTACTGGGTGCTTGATGAAAAGAGGATTCTTTTTTGGTCTTTTTTTTTTTTCGTTTTTTATTGGTACCAGGGATTGAATTCACGACTGCCTGCTTGCAAGGCAGGTGCTTATGCTGCTGGGCTAAATCCCCAGCCCGAAAGAGGACTCTTTAAAAGAAAATGTCTACCTAGGCAGGCTAGCTAACCAGGCTACCCCAGCTGCAGCAGCCAACACCTCTTAAAGGCAGAAACTCTTCAGTCTGGCGAGTAGTTCCTAAACATTTCTGGAATGGATGGGACATAGCAGTGGTTATGACTTCCTGCTTTTCAGATAATTCCCGTTCCTGTGCCAAACATAAAACTAAGATGCACCTCAATTTGTATCACAGATAAACGGCAAATACTTTTGCACTACAGATATATTCCACATTTTGCACTAGGTATGTAAATGTATAAACATAGGATTAAATGCTAAAAAATGCCAAAATGATGGAACTAAGTATAGGTTAGGTAACATTTATCCAAAGTGCTTGGGACTAGATATATTCCAACTTTTGGAGATTTTCAGAGTTTAGAATCTTTGCATAGACATTACCTATTGAGTATTCCTAATCTGAAATCCACTGAGATTTTGGACCATTTCAGATTCTGAATTTGCATATTAGGGATACTCAGCCTATACTCAAAATAATTTGTCATTTGTACGAAATTCAGACTCACCTTGGAATCATGTATTTTGTGTGACAACCCTGACCCGGGTCAGGGGACTTTCCATCGAGGTTGGTGTGCATAGAGAGAGCTGTGTTTAGGGCAGGGCCTGCAGGCAGGGGTGCCCGCACCCTTCCTCGCCAGTGTCTTCAGGCCCGTCTGAGGTATCTGTGTCTTCTTGGCCAGCGCTGGGTAAAGCCTGGAGACCATGTACTCATTGTTCTTGTGACCACGTTGTCACTACCACATTGCCCCCCTTCATTTCCACACACTGCCAGGGTACATTTCCATTCGTTACAGGTAAGCTGCTTATTGATTTGATTTCAATTGTCTGTCTCCTGGTGGTAGCTAAACATGCCCTTAATATCACCAGTAAGCTCTCTACATGTGACACTGTGGGGATGGCTGCTTGTCACCAGCTAGCTGTCTGTGATGTGTGTGCTCTTGGCTGGCTTCGTTCTCTTGAGAATGAACTCTTTCTATTTAGACTGTGGAAGCCTGAAACCCTCTGACTTCTTACCATGGGCCTTCTCCCTCTGGAACAGTCTCAGTGGGATGGAAGAACTTGGGTCGCTAGGTGTGGCTGCATGTGTTCCTTGTACCTAGTTAGTTCTCTGTCTTCCACTGAGAACTAGTGGTTGAAATGAGTGAGTGGGGAGCAAGGGACACGTCTGCCCTGAGAAACTCTTATGGCTTCCTTTCTTACGTTTGAGTCTGTGTGTCCCCGGCCTCCTGGCTCTGTTCCCTCATCCTTCTGCCTGGCTCTGTTGTGCCGCCTCTGTAGGGTTCCCGTGCGTTTGTATACACACACACAGACACCCTGCCAGATTTCCCACTGCCTGGGAAGCTCCTCTAAAGCTGTTTTGTTTTGTGGTGCTAGGGATTGAACCCAGGGCCTTCATACTGAGCTATATTCTCAGCCTTTTTAAAGCTTTTTTGGGACAGGATTTGTCTGAGTCACCAAATTGCCCAGTCTGGGCTTGAACTCATGATCCTTTTGCCTCCGCCCCCTGGATTGCCAAAGCTTTCCATTGAGCACTTTGATACTTTCTGTCCCTAGCAAGAGAGTCCTAAGACTTACCTGTAGTTAATGTGGCCATTCAGACCCACAGTTTGTGAGAGTAGAAGAATATGCTGTTAATAAATGCACTCGGATTGTTCAGGGCCAGTGGACCCCAAAGGTCATCCCACTACAATGAGATGCAAGGCCCTTCCAGGCAGCAGCCGCCCTGACCTTCCAGGTAGTAGAGGAAGTCATAGGTTAAAATCTTTCCTCCAGTCCCCCTTCTCAGCATCTTGCTTCCTGCCTGGAAGCCATTGCCAGGCTGCTGGCAGTGGCTCTGGCAGTGGCTCTCAGAAGCCCAGGGGCCAACACCCTTGCTAGAACACAGCGGCAGTGCGCATGGCTTCCTGCAGGAGAGGTGTAAGTGAGCCCGCGCCCCATCTCAGCTGCCTCTCCTGCCCCTTACCTCTGCCTCACCCACCTGCCTTTGTCTGGATTGGTTGCAGGAGTGTTACTGACGCAGGAAGACAGTCTGGGGATAAGTCTGGGGGTTCCCCTGAAAGGCGATGTTAGCAGACAGCTGGGCCAGAAGCAGTCGCTATGGCCTTTTCCTTCCCCTTAAAGCTCAAATTTCTGAAACTCGTAAAGAAAGAGCCAAGCAATCACAGGTCAGGAACTCTCCAGTCTCCTGTCTCATTTCCTTTCTTCCTTCTCCAGCTCTCAAAGTCACTGGACACGGGAGTGAGAGGGAGGGCATCTCTAATTCCAAGACCCTTTTGGAAGTGCTTGCTTGTAAAATAAAGGAAGGGTAGTATCTGAGGAAATCTGGAGTCCTAACTTTTATATTGCTTGTTGCTTTGCTTTATGTGGCTCAATTTTGTATTAGAAACTTGAAATGAAAATATCCCAGATTAGCTGGACTTGGTACCACATGCTTGTAATCCCAGGACGTGGATGGCTAAAACAGGATTTCTGTGAGTTCAAGGCCGGCCTGGGCTACAAAGTGAGTTGAAGGCCAGCCTGAACTGCATAGTGAGGCCCTGTCTCAAAAAGACCTCCCCACCCACAAAAAGAAAAAATACCCCAGATTGCTGGGCATGATGGTGTGCACCTGTAATCCCAGGACTTGGAAGGCTGAGGCAGGAGGATCATATGAGTTCTAGGCCAGCCTGGGCTATAGAGGGGACCCTGTCTCAGAAAGAAAAGAAGAGAAATGATCCCAGATCAGTTGAGGACACCCAAGTCAACAGTGACGGGGGTGACACATAGGTAGACGTGGCATAACAGTGGTGCTCACGTAACTTCCTGTTGCTTCCCTTTCTACTTCCTTCAGGACACACATGAGGCTTACTGTGGTAAAAGCTAGGTTACCGAGGGCTGGTCACATCCTCGGTTAAGTGAAATTCCAGGGTCACACGGCCAGGAAGAGGTAGGCCTGGAATTTAAGCTTGCAGGGCTCAGCCTGGTTCCAAGGCCCATTGCTTCTTACTAGGGTGCTGCTCCACTGCAGGCGCTGGGTCCTGGCACACTGCTATGGCGAGAGATGACGGGCTATGTTTTGATTTTTGCCTTTCCGGGTTCCAAGGCATTCTCTCTTCCTTTAGTTCAGTCTCAGCGACTTACTGTTGGGCGGCGGGTCCTCACTTTGCTGGGCACAGGTAGAATCATAAAGGAAGCTGCTGCTCCTTCAAGTGGCAGGAAGGGGGTCTGTTGAGGAAGTAAAACCTCTGCATGGTGGGATGTCTTCGCCTCCAGCCCAGCCCAGGCCCAGGAGGCCGGGAAGGGAGAGGGCAGTGTCACCTGTGCTTAGACCACACGTGAGCCCCCAGAGGTTGACACAGGCCTCTGCTAAGAGGCCAGCCTTTCTTAGTCCCCTCCGGGCCTGGCCCATTTCTCTCCATCTCCACCTCCACAGGAGAGAAGCTGCTCGAAGGGCAAGTGATCCAGCTCGAGGACGGGACCACTGCATACATTCACCAAGTGACAGTACAGAAAGGTGGGGCCACCACAACACCTTGCCCGTGGAGGGAGGCCAGCAGGTCTGACTGAGGGAACCCCATGGCACCGGGCTCGGGGAGAGCCCGACATTGTTGTCATTACAGAAGCTCTCTCCTTTGAGGATGGGCAGCCAGTGCAGCTGGAAGACGGCAGTGTGGCCTACATACACCGCACACCCAAAGGTGGGGCCACTGTCATCAGCCCTGGTGGGGAGGAGGAAACACACATCTGGCAGGGCTGGGGACAGAGGGACACACTGGGAGGGCTGTTGATCCAGGCGCTGCCCCCAAGGCACATGCAGTACTTGCTTACCTGACAGGCAGGCTTCCCTGGTGCAGGCCACAGGAGCAGCTGTCTCTGCCATCAGGAGGCTGAGCCTTGGGGTCAATATGTGGGCCTCAGTGGTGGCTTTGGTTTCCACATAGCCCCAGGGACTTAGGGCATTGAGTAGGACCTGAGGCCATCATCCAAGGCCAGAAGAAACTTACTAATATTTAAGAATGACACTAGGCATAGTGGCGCACACTTGTGATCCCAATACTCAGGAGACTGAGGCAAGAGACTTGCCATGAGTTCAAGGCCAGCCTGGGCTACATAGCATGACCCTTTCTCGAAAAAAAAAAAAAAAAAAAGCTTCTGGAGCTGAGGGTACAGCCCAGTGCTACAGCTTTGCCTAGCATAAGACCCTGGATTCTACCTTCAGGACTATAAGAAAAAATTAAGCTCCTAGGTACTGAAGAATAGCAGTACAGTCCTTTTCAAGTAGCTTCTTGAGAAGCTACTACAAACCAGGCAGTGTGGGAGGCATAGACAATCCAACAGAGAGTGAAAATAAGCTGAGTGTGGTGGCACATGCCTGTAATCTCAGCTACTGTGAAGGCTGAGGCAGGATCAGCCAGCCTGGGCAATTTAGCAAGATCCTGTCTCAAAATATAAAAGAGGCAGGGGAGGTAGGTCAGTGACAGAGTACCCCAGGTACTGGAAAAAAGAAAATAAAAGAAAAATCCTACTCCTCGTCTAGTCTAGTGGGAGAAAAAAGCGTCCCTGCTGGACTGATCATTACAAATGAGGGTCAGACTCAGATTGAGGGGTGAGTGGGAAGAGTCACTTGGGAAACAGTACTAGAGCTTCAAGCAGAAGGGTGAATGAACTGAGCCACAACTGGAAGAGGGTGGAAAGGAGGGCTTCAGACAGAGGAACAGTGTGGAATAGGGAGAAAAAAGGGTGACTCGACCTGCCAGGAGCTGGAGGGCAGGCAGGAGGGTAGGGGATGTTGGCATCTGCCCTGAGACCCATGGGAAGCGTCAGAGCTATTGAGGCGGCCAGGTGACATGACCACCTGTGCCCTATAGAGATCAGGTGCGTGCTGTGCCACCTGGCAGGAGCTGATGGGGGAGGGGGAAGTGGTCTGGAATCTGGGCCACGGTGGGTCATCCAGGCCTCGAGGAGCCAGTGAGTTCGCAGTCAGTGTCCTTAAAGGGAAGGAGCCCCAAGAGGGAGGGCCAGCAGGAGGGAGTCACCAAGGTGGAGGTTGGGGGCACCCGATACAGAGACCTTTCCTGTGTGTCTGCCTCTCCTTAAGTTCAGGCCAGGCTCCTTCTCCCCACTGCGTGGCATCCGCGCTAACCTCATGTTCCTACAGAGGGCCACGACCCCAGCACACTGGAGGCCATCCAGCTGGAGGACGGCTCCACCGCCTACATCCACCATGCTGGGGCTGTACCACCGGACGGCACCATCCTGGCCGTGCAGACAGAGGTGGGCTTGGAGGACCTGGCCGTGGAGGACGAGGAGGGTTTCGGTACAGACACAGTGGTAGCCTTGGAGCAGTGTGCCAGCAAGGTGAGCACTCAGAGCTCTGGACAGCAGGGCCTTGCCTGCCCACTGCCTCTTGGCCCTCATGGGACAAGGGCAGCCTGCTGCTTGGGCACGAGCCGGGCTACTCCCTTAGTCCCTCTGGTTCCTCTTCTCATCCAGGCTGTGCAGCACGGCCTGGCTGCGGCCCTGACAGCTGTTTCGCTCACCCTGTTTATGCTGCCTCTGCAGAGGGAAGGCTGCTGCACAAAGCAGTGGCAGCCGAGAGTGGGAGGTCAGGTCCGGCTTCCCTTTGTGCTGTGCTATCTGGGAAAGCCCCGCTGAGGCTTTTGATTAGTTTTCCCATCCGCCACAGTCAGAAGCTCTTGTATTTATTTCTCCTCTGCAACGCACTGAGTCATGTGGGGAAATCAGCTCCATAAGCAGTGAGCAGGGCATAGGCAGCAGAGCAGCTGGGACGCTTGGAACCTGAGGCCCACGCAGGAACTTGGCTGCAAAGGACAGGGTCCTGGCTCTCGAGATGTCAGTCATCGTGCATGCTTGCTGGAGCTGTGGCCCTGCCTTCTGCGGGAGCAGGAACAGAGATCTACCACCTTCCCAAATCCAGTGCTCCCAAGTAGGTTGGCCTCAGAGCCTAGGGAATGCGGCAGAGCTTTCTGAAGCTCCAGGTTTACCCAGAGACTTGGAGGGGGGCAGTCGTCTTCATAAAATCACAGTGACCGTGTGATAGAGAAATAGAGGAAGTCTTTGTGTCTCTTCAAAAGGAAGCACAAAACATGACAGCAGCCCATTCTGGACCATGCCCCCCCTGCTTCCCCCCCCCCCCCGCCCCAGGTGTGTTCAAATGTGAGGCAGCTGCTGGTGGGAAGAGACCTTGGCTTTGTTTCATTCATGGGCCCTCAGCTCTGTGATGGCTGCGTCGCTGCTGGGTGCACCACTGGGACAGCCGCTCACTGCCTCCCAGGCCTCAGCTTTTCCTCAGGGTGAATGGGCCTCACCCTGTCCTCTGCTCACCGTGACTCCTGAGTTGTTTCAGGAGCTCATGGAAACACCAGAGCGTGACCCTCAGTGTCTCAGAAAAAGGGACAAGGGACAGTCCTGCCAGGATGGGAGCTAGGAAAGTAGAAAAGCCGTAAGGCTGGTGCAACCGGAGGCTGACTGATGGCCCTGTGGCCAGCGGCTGTGTCCGATGGGTGGCTGTAGCCCTGTTCCCAGGACAGGAAACGGGGCAGGAGGCCTTGTCATGACCCAGGCTCCGTGGTTAGAGCTGAGACTTCTGTCCTCATCCTGCACATCTGCTTAGAGCTGCCACCGCCGGGCTCTTGTCCTGCCGGGTGAACCTGGCGAGCTCACTCCATAGCGGGCCCCTCGCACGTGCTCCTGATGAGCCCACCGCCAGGGGAAGCGACCTGCCCACATCAGAGCACAGGCGTGCCAAGAGGGGCAGCTTCCTTGGGGCGTGTGGGAAAGGAGCTGGCGCTGGCCTTACTCAGGGCGGCCACCCAGACCACCACACCCAGCTGCCTAGGAAGCGACCTTTCCACAGTAGCTGTCTCAGCCCGTGACAGTTAGTCTTGCCTCTGTCCCTCAGAGGGTGGTGGGGACTCCATGCCAGCCCTGTTTCTTCCACATCATGCCTGAATGTCTGTTCCCTGTCTGCTGGCTATGTCTCAATGCCCCAGAGGGCCCTCATGGGCTAACCCTGGCTGTTGGGTCTTAGGCTGCCACTGGGCCCTGTGTCCTACCCCTCATAAACACTCAACAGGAAGGATACATGTAGGGACCCCAAGATTTGTTTCAGGTTCTGCACAACAGCCAGGCTTCCCATAATGGCAAAGGGCAGCAGGTTGGAGATAGAGCTTTTCGCTGTGGCTACAAGGGCTGTGGGCGCCTCTATACCACTGCGCATCACTTAAAGGTAAGCCAGTGGCAGGCAGGCTTCTGTTCTGCCCTTGCCTGCTAGGCCACTGTCCTGTCTGTCTGTCTGTCTGTCTGTCTCTCTCAGACTGGTCTCTGCCCTTGCGTTGCATGTTAGCTGCTAGAGGGAAGAGGCAAGTGTCCATGCAAGAAGCTGTGACACATGTGAACAGTGCAGGGGCAAGGGTACCAGTGGGCCCGCCTCAGACCCTGTCCTTCTGAGTAACATGATTGCTTGTCCTCAGGTGCATGAGCGAGCTCACACAGGTGACCGCCCATACCAGTGTGACTTCCCCAGCTGCGGAAAGGCCTTTGCCACAGGTAAGCCCCTGGCTGAAGGTGGGTTAGACTGAAGGCGGACCACTTCTGGTTGAGGGCAGAGGGTGCTCAGTGAGCTCTGGAGCCTCCTATGAGGGCTGCCCAACACAGGCTGCTGTCCGGGAAGCTGATATGGAAGTGTTGTGAGGCACAGATGCGAAAGGTGGCCCAGCCAGGATGGAGGTGGAGAGGCCTTGCCTCTTGTGTCCGCTGAGGAGACCTTATGGTCTCTGGGCTTCACTGCCCCCTCTAAAACAGGAGCTTAGCCACCGATGTCCTAGGCAGCTTCTTGAGTGGCTGCTCTGGAATGCCTCCAGCTGCCCTGGAGCAGGCAGGGGAGCATAGTGGGCTTTTCTGTCCTTTCTTACTCAGAGGCCTGGTGGGGTAGAGACCAGCGGGGCTTCTGCAGCCCCCCAAAAGGGCAGTTTAGATGGAGAGCCTCTAAAAGTAGTGGGCGACAGAGGCATTCGGGGTCAGGAGCCCAGGAGACTGCCTGGGACTGCTGGCCGCTCTGCCACCCCATGTCACACATGGGTAGGCTACGGGCTGAAGAGCCACGTTCGCACACATACGGGTGAAAAGCCATACAAGTGCCCGGAGGAGCTGTGCAGCAAGGCCTTCAAGACCTCAGGAGACCTGCAGAAGCACGTGCGGACCCACACTGGTAGGCAGGGCTCTGCCTGCGCTCGGGAAGAATGCTCAGCCTGGGAGCCCATGTGGCCCCTCCTTGCTCCACCACGGCCGCCCATTCCGCACAGGTGAACGCCCGTTCCGGTGCCCTTTCGAGGGCTGTGGCCGCTCCTTCACCACGTCTAACATCCGCAAGGTACATGTGCGCACCCACACAGGCGAGCGGCCCTACACCTGCCCTGAGCCCCACTGTGGCCGTGGCTTCACCAGTGCCACCAACTACAAGAATCACGTGCGCATCCACACAGGTGGGCCAGCTGGCATGCGAGGACACCCTCAGGCCCACTTCCCTCTGCCAGGCGCTTCTGCTCAGAGATGCATCCGAGCTCCCAGCTGATGCTATTCTCTGGGTGCGGGGATCCCCACCATCACCATCTCACTCACAGTGAACAAAGTGAGCGGCTCTTCCACCTCCAGTTAGGTCCAAGCCGGCAGGAATTGCTGGCCTCCTGTGGGACCCCTGAGGTCCCCGCCAGCTCTCTACCTCTCGGGTCTCTCCTTCCGGCTGAGCTCTGAAGAGGCCAGGGTGAGGAGGGGTGGGGAGGAAGCAGAGTGAAACGTCGCCTTACCTCCCCACCTCATCCACTGTGCATGTGACTCCTCTGTGTCCTCACCCTCCTGTGTCACGTCCCTCACCCAGCCTTCCGTGTCTTCTCTTAGCCCTGCGCCCCCTGCCCCATCCCACTGCACTTCACACTTCAGTCTCTGTCCCGGTCTCCTCGCTCTTCCGCCTGCCGCTCTGGCCTTCCCCCTCCAGCCTTACAAGCCCCTCACGCACTCACAGCCCTCCTCTCGCCCCAGCCTTGGTCACCCCTATTCTCTCTCCAACCTCATCTGCGGGTTCGGACCCCATGCCCATGTCCTCCCTCTCCCCCAGTGCACATCTCCCAGTTCTGTCCATGCGGAGCCTCGAGTCTCAGCTCTTCTCCTCCCTCTGACTTGCCCTTCACCAACCCTGCCCCTCACCACTGTCCCCTTAGTTTCCCCCTTGCCAGCCCCAGTCCTGCCCCCTCACAGCCCAGTGTCCCCAGGGGAGAAGCCATACGTTTGCACGGTGCCAGGCTGCGGGAAGCGCTTCACTGAGTACTCAAGCCTGTACAAGCACCACGTGGTGCACACGCACTGCAAGCCCTACACCTGCAGCAGCTGCGGCAAGACCTACCGGCAGACCTCCACCCTGGCCATGCACAAGCGCAGTGCCCACGGCGAGCTGGAGGCCACTGAGGAGAGTGAGCAGGCCCTCTACGAACAGCAGCAGCTGGAGGGTGAGACAGGAGCAGCGGAGAGAGCCCTAGGGGAACCAAGAGCTCCCATGGCATCCAGTGGCATTTGGTAGCCTGGGCTCTCCTCTCTTAGCCACCTCTGCAGCTGAGGAGAGCCCATCCCCCAAGGGAGCCCACATCACTTACCTTTCCAAGGTGAAGGAAGAAGGTGATGACGTCTCGGCCCAAGTGGCCATGGTGACCGAGGAGGATGGAGCCCCCCAGGTGGCTCTGATCACTCAGGATGGTGCCCAACAGGTACAGACCCCGAGGAACACTCCTCTCAGGGGACTCTGGGGAGCCCTGAAGCCTGGCCTGCCCCATCTCCCCTGAATTCTTGTTATGGCTCTATGGACCTCAGGGAGCTGAGGCTGAGGAGACTAGGCTTGTAACCCAGCTCTGCTCCTCCTCCTCATGCCTCTAGCTCTGTCTCCCCCTCTAGAGCATGGTCAGTAGTTACCCGCTTGGAGGCTGCCAGCCCTCCCACCATCTAAAGGCCACATGGGCATCTTCTCAGGACAGACCTGTCGGTGCAGAAGTCTTGAGGTCTGGCGGTCCCTCTAATGTTGCTAGCCAGCCTTGTCCTCACTTGTGTTCCTAGAGTTGTCAGACAAAATTCAGGGGAGACCCTGAGCTGCACACAGCAGAGCCCAGAGCCAGAGTGACGGTAAACAGATGCCACCAAGTCAGGCATGATGGTACCTGCTGAGGCAGGTGGGTCACCAGCTTGAGGCCAGTCTGGACAACTTAGCATTTAGCATTAACCGTGTCTCCAAATGAAAAAGACCGGGGAGGTTCCTCAGTGCAAAGACCCTGATTTCTATTCTTAACACCGACAAGAAAAAACAACAGAAGTGGTCAGCAGAATTCTGCAGCCATGGCCCTGTTTTGTTTGCTTGTCCCCACCAAAGACCTGAAGCTAAGCTCATGTGGACAGCGGAGGCCTCCTCCAGACAGCCCTCCTCAGAGCTCCCACCCAGCCTTTCTCCTTTCCTCCTGTCACAGGTCAGCCTGTCCCCAGAAGACCTGCAGGCCCTGGGGAGTGCCATCAGCGTGGTGACCCAGCATGGCAGCAGCACCCTCACCATCCCCAGTCATGACGACGACCTGGCCACGTCCAGCACACATACTGTCGCCATGGTCAGCGCTGATGGCACACAGACGCAGCCCGTATGACCAGGCGGTTTGCTTGGAGTTTCTTGTTCTTTTGCTACCCTTTTCCACGGGTGGGCATTAAAAGTTCAGGCCAAACTTGTCAGACCTTTTATAAGGACAGAGAGTCCCCTGGCTTCTCTGGGCCATTGGCAACTTGAATCTTTAAAAGCATTTGATGAATCAAGAGATAGTTTCTAGCTGGGTGTGTTGGTGCACACCTGTAATCCCAGTGTGCGGGAGGCTGAGGCAGAAGAATGGTTGCTGAGTTCCAGACCAACCTGAGCTACACAAACTGAGCTTAAGGCCAGACTGAACTGCATAGTGAGACTCTGTCCCAAAAAGAAAAAAGAGAGAGAGAGAGAGAGAGTTTGTGAATCTCAGTCCACCCCTGCTTTGCCTGACCATCCTAGGCAAGTCACTTTTCCATGGACTTCAAGACCCATTTTCAACTCAGGGCACTGACTTATCTCCGGGGGTCTTTCATAGCTCTGTCCTTTGGTGGTTCAGAAGTCCTACATTCAGCTGGGCTGTACGTTGGAGAAAGACTCAGCTTCATTTAGCTGGGAGCCCTAAGCTAAATCATCTGACCCCCAGGGATTTTCTGCATTGCCATCTGGGTTGCTTCCAGCCCTCCAGCACAGGGGGTTCTCACCTGGCCTGAGTAGAGGGGCCGTTGCAGGAGGGTGGAAGATCTTCTGTGTTTCAGGTCGCAATCATTACCTCTGGGGCTGTGGTGGCTGAAGACGCGAGTGTAGCATCCCTGCACCATCAACAGGTGGCGCTGTTGGCCACAGCCAATGGAACGCATATTGCGGTACAGGTGGGTAGAAATCCGGGGGGAAAAGGACCCCCAGACCAGAGAAGGGAATGAGGGGGTGAAGGAATTGGGTGGTGCTCCTGAAGAGAAGGGCATCAGGTTCCAAAAAGGGTCCATTTCAGAGGACAAATCCCATTCTGCCTCGGGCGTGTAGGACCTGCACACCCGAGGCAGAATGGGGACACCCCTCCGGCCTTCAGTGTAACTGATGGCAGCTCAGCGGTGGTCCAAGCCTTTTGTCTCTTCCTGCCAGTCTTTCACCTGGGAGGTGAAGCCGCTAAAGTCGGTGATCACTGAGGTCCTCTCCAGCCAATTACCCTTCTGTGAGCGAGCTGTTCTCTGACCGACCGTGGGCCGTCTCTGTCCCTGGCCATGCCTCACCTATAGGACCCTCTCTGTGAACTTCCTCCCTCCTGGTTGAGGCCCTCATCAAGAGCTTAGTCCGTGGCCCTGAGACGGAGGAAGTGTAGACAAGTGGACGGCAGAGTGCTGACGCCACGTTCTGGGAGGGAGCATCTCACACCCTGCTTCCTTTCACACCCCTCTCTGCAGCTGGAGGAGCAGCAGACCTTGGAGGAGGCCATCAGTGTGGCCACCGCTGCCATGCAGCAAGGGACTGTGACCCTGGAGACGTCAGTGACAGAGAGTGGCTGCTGAGCCAAGAGGGGCAGGCGCACGCACACACCGTGCTGGAGAGTGTGCCACCCTGTGCAGGCAGCCCTGCGGATGACACACGGAAGGTGGTCGCACCGGTCTCTGGGAGAAAAGGGCCTAACTGAGCAGCACAGAGGCCCCGCCAGAGAAGGCCCCCCGAGCAGCAGGCAGCCGGAGCTGGGGAGCAAGCAAGCCCGGTACCAGGCTGCTCTGGGAGGACACACCCTTGCCGTCTTCAGTCCACTCCTCAGGTGGAAAGTGGGCTGTGGTGGGGACCCGCCTTTGCCCAAACTGATCTCAGCCCATGGAGGCGCAGGCAGGCAACTCTGCAGCCCCTCGGGGCAGAGCGGCCCAGCCCTGCCCCTCCCAGCAATAAACCACCTCCCCGGAGGCCAGCCGAGGTGCTTGGTCCCTTGGTACTGGGATTCCTGCCACCACAGTCAGAATTAATTGCTCAGGGGCCTGTGGCTGGAGTACAGGTGCCCAGCTCCCACCCCACCCTCCAGTGGTCCCCCAATCTTTATGGAAGAGAGGCAGGGAATAGCCCTGTACATAGACTGCTGGGATTGGGTTTCATTTATTTTGTGGGGTTTTTTAAAATTCCACTTTGACAATTATTTTTCTGTCCTGCTCTGGGTGGTGGTGGCAAATGGATGAATGAGTATTTAATAAAAGTTCCAAGTTTCCACCTGGGTTCCTCCATCCTTCCAGCTCAAGGGCCTGGTCCCTGGGCTGGTCAAGGCCAGCTCTCATCCCTATTGCCCTGCCACAACCCCTGCTTGGCTTCAGTGCCTGCCCAGTAGGCTATGCCGGTAGGAGGAAGGCCCTGTGTAAGATAAGAAGCTGCCTGAGGAGCTGCCAGTGGCTTCCTGCCGCTACTGAGCAGGGGGCTCTAGGGAGCCAGCTAGGACCGGCGTGACCACTACTTGCAGGCTCTGGCTGAATTCCAGGCCTCAGGGTGGTCGGGTTGGAAGAACTCTAGTTTTTCTTTTCTGCTTTACCTTTGCAAAATACAGCCCAGGCTCCTCCTGCCCCAGCCAACCCTGAGCACACACAGCCAGCTGCTCCAAGGGGGCAGAGTCCGGGTCTGAGCAGGCTGAGAGGCAGCTTTGCACCAGTTTCTGAGGTTCTCTGATGCCTCACTGCTCTGGTGTTGAAGTCCCAGCTTATTACCTTGCTCCTAGGGCTGCTGTGCTGTGGGGTTCCTAAGCCATATTCAAGCCCCACTGAAAGTGCGTGGGAGGCCAGCCTGCAGGAGGAGGTGCAGGGGTACCGACGAGAAGGAGCCCACCTGGATGGGAACTGAAGGTGCTTCTACATCTCTCCTCTCCACTGTGATGGGTGTCCCTCAGGCCCCTTCCTACTCCTGAGAATGGAGCTCCTTCACCAGAACCATCCCCAGAAAGCTCCTGTTTATTGTCATCACCAGCCTCCTGGAGGCAGAGGAATCGGGGTATGCCACCATATTGGCCTGCAGGCTGCTTCCACATGGCAGAGTGCTAATGCCACGTTCTGGGAGGGAGCGTCTCACACCCTGCTTCCTGGTGTGGGCGTGTGCCACCCCATGGGCACTGGATCTAAACAGTGGCAGTACTGATGTGTAGTGCCTCGCATCCCAAGGCTGTCCTGCCAGGACTTGCTGAGGTGGGGCCCTGTGCCAGGCTCCAGGTACAGTGGGCAGAGCTCTTAGTGCCTTCTGGAGCCATTGCCAGGGTTTGGGAAGCCAGCAAATCAAATGCCAAGTCTGTCTCATCTAGAGGAGTGCCCTGGCTCAGGCCCTCCAGCTCTTGGGGTTCGCTTAGTTTTCTTCCTCTTGCCAGTAGGGTCCACCACCATGGTTAGGGGCCACAGAAGGGGATGCCCTAGTTTCAGCTGGCCTTTCACCTGGTAAACCCAACCCTCAATATGATGGCAGGCAGGGTGGGCCTTCTTTTTCCCTAGGCAAGCTGCCTCTGGGAGCATCAGGAAGGCTCTGGGACAAAGGCATTTATTTATTTATCCTTTTTTTGTCTTGAGACAGGGTCTCCCTATGCAGTTTAGGCTGGCCTTGAGCTCACTTTGTAGCCCAGGCTGATAAACTTGCAGTGATCCTCCTGCCTCAGCCTGCCTAGTGTTGGGATTATAGGAGTGCACCACCACACCTGGCTTAAAGGGGGCCTCACACAGACACCAGCCCAGCAGATGAGGCTGATTCAGAGGGACATAGCCCTGGGAAGGCTGCTGAATGCCACCAGAGCAACAAGCACGCAGGCAGGTGGAGCTCTTGCTCCGCAGTGGGACGCCTCTGTGGTCTGTAGCCGTCGCATTTCCTGAAACCGGATCTTGGTGTCAGAGCCGCCCCTGGGCCGGGCGGGCGGGCGGGCGGCAGGCAGGCGCCTCAGCCATGGCCCTGCGCAAGGAGCTGCTCAAGTCTATCTGGTACGCCTTCACCGCACTGGATGTGGAGAAAAGCGGCAAGGTCTCCAAGTCTCAGCTCAAGGTGAGAACACCCGGAGCCCAAGGGGGCTGGCAGAGCACCATACCAGCCCCGGTCACCAAGGAGCCAGGCATGAAACCTGTGCTACCCTGGGCACCCAGCCATCCAGCAGCCCCGGCTGCGGGCGTGGGGTGGGGGGAGGCCCAGTGCTGGGCAACTGGGCCAACACGCTTGGGAGATGCTGCTGCCCGTGGTCCAGGCGCTCCAGGGAACTCATCCAGAACTATTGTCCAGAATCCAGGGCCCAACTGGTGGCAGGAGGGGGCATCACAGGGTTCTGAGGAGCCTGGCCACTTCCCCGGCTCCATGTGGTGAGCGGCCCGGCTCCCAGAGTCAAGCTTGGGCACGCACCCTACTCCTCCCTGCCGCCGATTCCTCCTGGCCATGAAGACACAGGCGGCACTTGTCAGTCATTTCCTCTGGGACTGAGGAGGCATGAAGGGTCTCCCCACCACCAAACCAGGCTGCCCCATAAACCTGCAAACCCACAGGGCTGGGAGGGCTGCGGACCCTCTTACACTGGCACCCAGCTCACCAGCCTGTTCCACCATCACATGCACACTACACAGGCGTGTGTACAGCCCGGATTGGGAAAGCTACCTTAGGCATAAGACCCCTGGCAGGGAATGTGGAGCTGAGCCCAGGAAAAGCCCGAGTGGTGCTTGCCCCAGATCCCTATGCTGTTCCAGGAGCTAAGGAGCTTCTCTCCTGCTTCCTTCAGGCCTGGGTTAACACTGCCGCCCATCCCGTTGGCAGGGAGAAAGCAACTCCCGGGGCTGTGGCCACGGGGCACTGCAGGAAAGGAGAGCACAGAACCGCCTCAGGCATTCATTTATTCCTCCCTTCCTTCCCAGTGATCACGGCTGAGGCCCTGCCTGGCAGGAGGGGAAGGCCCTGGATTCCTGGGGCCTCCCCCACCTTCCCTTCAAAAGGGGATTCAGTCTCAACCTTCCTTCCTAAGGACCAAGCTCGGAGTACCTGGAGGGCAAGGAGGAGAACAGGATTCCACCCCTCCATTCCGCCCCACCCCTCACGCTGAGCTGGGCCCTGCTTGTAAACTTGGATGTCCCTTCTCTTAGTCAGACTCACGGGCATCTAATAACTCTCTATTTTTCCTCAAGGGAGAATCCACAACCACTTGGATCACTTGGGGGAGAAAACCTCCCTCCCCCTGCCAGCTGGTTCTTCCTCACATGCCTTTAAACCCCTTTCACTGAACCTCATCTCATTTAGTTGGGTTCTTGGCATGGATGGGAGAAAATAGAAGTCATCTACCCACCAATCCCTGTGGGAACCTGTGCCCCACAGCCACCTCCAGCTCTGCCCCTTTAGTATCTCTCCCGGGCAATCCGACCCTGGTAGCTTCTTGCTTCCAAGGTGCCCACCTTGTGGGCCCCAAGCCTTCTCGGTGTACCTCATCTTTGGAGGGCACATCTCTCAAGTGGCTCCTGTTTTGTGGTGCTGTTGCCCTTGAACTTCTGTCCTGACCTCCAGTGACCTGGTATCCACTGCCCAGTCCGTAGACAGACTGAGTATTCCCAGGGAGGAGTCACCGCTGAGCTGGCATACTTGACTTTCGCACTTGGTACCAACTGACAGCTCAGATCCAGCCCACTGCCAGCAAGGTCTTCATGCACATGGGTAATGGGAGATGGTCCTCCCTGACCCCTCTAGGGGACAAGCCTGGTTTAACAGTGGGAGTCTCAGTGGCCTACTGGGGGCAGGACAGAAATGGTCCTGAATGAGAGAGAAGGTGGTTTCCCGGGGCCCACAGTGAAGGTAGTGATGGTGCTGGGGGTGGGATCCCAGTAGGAAGCGGAGAACAGAGGAAGAGGAAGAAGCAGAGGAGACAGCTACAGCAGCAGCTGCGCCCCACCCCCGGAGTTGGGGATAAGGGACAGGGCTGTCCGGCATCTCCTCTGTGTGTTGGGAGAGGGCTGCCTTGGCTGTCCTGGGCAGACCCCAGATGGCCCCAAGGAGGAGGAGGAATGGGAGAAGCCAATGAGTCTGAGTGTTTGCTCTGGGAAGAGAAGGTCTGAGCAGAGACCAGGTGTGGGTCCTGTCTGAATTCTGGTGGAAACAGGTCCAGTTGCTTGAGGACTATGCAAACAGACTAATGAGCATGACGCTTCTGCCCAGGGTGGACTGAGGCTGAACCCAAAGCTTCCCAGGGAGTTCTATGGGTCTTTAGAACCTTCTCTAAATAACCCGGGGTGGGGGAGATGGGAGGACCCGGGTGTGGTGGTGTACTCCTATAACTCCAGCACTGGGGAGGCTGAGGCAGGCGGATCATTGCAAGTTCGAGAGAAGCCTGGTTTACAAAGTGAGCCCAAGGCCAGCCTGAACTACATAGTGAGACCCTGTCTCAAAAAGAGAAAAAATAATTAGGGGTAAGAAGCCATCCCTGGTGGTCACACCCTCTACCAAGAGAGAGATCAGTTGAGACCTTGGTGTCCTTCCTTCCTGACCTCCAGGCAGTGGTGCCTGATGGGCAGACGGAGCCATCAGTCTCTGGCTAGTGGGGATCTGGGAGGTGGCCTCCTTGACAGCACAGAGCCGAGGAAGGTAGGGACTGCAGGGATCTCCCAGACTCCCAAGCCTCCAGCTGAATGCCACTCAGTGTGGTCCTGCAGCCCCCAGAGGACTTGCCCAGTGAATCTCTGGGCTTCGGGCTCTGTCCCCCCTGCAGAGAGACAACCACCTGCTCCATAGTGGAGGGAAAGTTAAGAATGGGTGGCCCAGAAACCTGCTGGCCTAAGTCATCAGCCTTGCTGCTTCCTTGGGCCATCTGTGGGCTGCGGGGGGAAGGTGTTTACGGGTACACAGAGCACTGCAGAACCTTTGTGGAGGCTTGAACCTGTGCTGCTCCCCAGCTGGGGGACCCTGGGAAAGCTGTTGCTCTCCTCCGATCCTCCAGTTTCTCCTCTATAAAGCAGAAGAGTTGATCTGGGGATCACCAAGCCACCAGCTAGCCCACAAAAATAACTTTAAAAATAACATCAAGTGGGTGAACTCAATCCTTTTTTTTTTTTTTTTTTTGGTGTACTGGGGACTGGGCCCACAGTCTTCACACTGAACTACATGTTTAAATTTTATTCTGTTTTTTGGGGGTTTTTTTGGTCTTTTTCCTTTTTATCGGTATCGGGGATCAACTGCCTGCTTGCAAGACAGGTGCTTATGCCGCTGAGCTAAATCCCCAGCCCCTTTTGTTC